CTTGATTCAGCTAGAGATTCTTCAGAAACTCTGTTCTCAGAAATCGCTAGTCGAGATTGTAAGTTCTCATTGTGGATCACCTGCAATCGAAGTTGTGATTCTTCCAAAGCTAAGTGATGTTCACATTCTGCATAACGGTCATGTTCAGATCTTATGTTACTGCGGAACTCCTTCATGATCTCGTCCCTCTTCATGTCAGCAGCATCGAGCTCAGTTTCCAGTCGTCTAACGTTCATGGACATGGTGTGCTTCATTGTCTGATTTTGATTGGCAACCTCGAGCATCTCGATTTGTAAAGCACATGTTTGATCATTGGCGTAGCCGACCGCTAGAGCTTCCTGCTTGGCATTCATCTCTGCGTTTTCCAGTTCCAGTCTGAGTTGATTGATGTGAGCATTTGCGTCAGCGCCCACATGTACCATAATTGCGCTCGCTTGTCCCATTTGTTCATCGAATTCCGAACGTAGTCGTGAATATTTGAATTCCAAATGAGATGCAGCTTCATTCGACATAGTCTGATACCTTTCCAACTCTTCGATCCTGTAGGTCGCACCTTCATCTTCTTGATGTGCAGCCTGTAACTCGAAGTTAAGCATCTGGAGTTGTTCGGTCATCGACATCATCTCTTGATGAGTGGTGCTTTCCAGGAAATTAAATTGTTGATAAGCATAAGCTGTCGTCTCGGTCAATCTTGCCTGAAGTACGGATTCTTCTTCAGTGGCCTTTTCCAGTGATGTCTTGTATTCAGCTAATTCACTCTGATAGGCAGTGAAGATGTCGCTACCACTCGATGGGGCGTTCACTTGCTGATAAGATCCTGTCCCTGATGGAGTAGCGTCCTGAATCGGTGAAGGCGGATTCGACGACGTAGTCTTTGCCTTAGTCCTTGGAGTCATCGGAGGCGACAATTGTCGTGCAGATGATCTTCTCTTTCCAGGTGTGCTGTCCCTATCTTCAATTGCTTGCATTGTCGAAATTTGTCTCCCTCTAGGAGCAACCAGAGGTCGCCTGGGTAGGCTTGTTCTCAGTTCTGAGGCATCGCTTCCACCAGTGTCGATACTCTGTGAAGAATTTGACTGCGTGCCGGCAGCTAGTGCAACGGCATGTCCAGAGAAAGAAAATGCATTATCGCTGCTATCCTGTTCAGTCATCTGTAAGGCCCGCGGCTACCCGCTCGTAGGCTCCGTAGGAGTCCTACGGCTGATAACCTGTGAGCCGGGGATTGTTTGCCCGATTATGTTCTGGTACTTGGGGTTGAAGGAAATGTTCCAATGACGACTTCACTCGGATGGCGGCTTCCGCATGGCGGTTCTTTGCTCTGATGCTGCAGTGGGTCTTGAGCCAAAAGGGCGATTGTCGTACCCTTTGGCTGTGGATCTTAGAGTGTTGAATTATGTGATACTGTACGATGGTCCGTAGCCTACACTCTATTCGCAATGTATATATGTATACATGTATATATGCATATATGTATATATGTAGATACGTATATATGTAGATATGTATATATGTATATATATGTAAAAATATGTATATGTATATTTGTATATGTATATGTATTTGCATATGTATATGCATATGTATATCCATATGTATATGCATATGTATTTGCATATGTATATGTATATGTATGTGTATGTGTATGTGTATGTGTATGTGTATGTGTGTATGTGTATATATATATATATATACACGTATGTGTACAGTACATATGCTGTTTCGCAAGAGGAAGTTCGGACAACATTCCCGTGGAGCAGATTGCAAGGGGTGATTGGCTGAGAAAACTGAATTACTGTTACAAGATGCCTCGCAGACAGCGTCAGAGATGTGCTGAACAAGGTCTTCCGACTGGTGGGCGTTGACACAATGCTTTGGCTTGAACCTCAGTGGCTTCGTTGAACTGCAGTCGGCATAACATGCGTTCCTTGCATGGTCAGCTTAGGCTTGCTCGCAAGCTGGCTGACATGAGGCTCGGACCTCTCTCATTAGGGGTACATGTCAAGTGCAGAGAGAATACATCCCACATCCTGCTGTTCATCAGCACGTAACGCAACATTTCATCTACTCTTCATGTCATCGATCCTCAACCCTGCCATGGCTCAGGTCCAAGTCCTCACAGCCAACTGACCTCCATTCAGCCCTGCAGCTCGCAGCAGACTGAGCAGGGAAAGCTGGGGGTCTTCATGGTAAACCTCTAGGTAGACCAACGAAGAAGGGCTTTCTGGTTCCGATTTTCTGTTACACCAGTTTGAGGGGTGTTTGTTTTCCCTGCGTTGGTCTTCCCAGGTTCTGGATGTCCACGGTTCTGCGCTTGGATGTTTGCGTAGCAATTCACGGAAGTGGCAAGGGCACCTGCAGCAGGTTTGTTTCTAGTGATCAAAAGTGTCGCGAGGTTATCAGCTCTTTTTTTGTCCACTATTCAACGCCCAGATCTTATTGCAAATCTTTCTCGTATACCGCTTCGAAGGGGGTGTGTAACAGTGACTTAGGCAGACCCACACCCCGGCAACATCCTTCTGATGTGCATCACTTGGAGGGAAAGCGGCAGATCCTTCAATACATCTACAAGTATTATTGGCTCTGACTTGCTTGTTCTCTGCGAGACGGTGCTTGTTCTTTGCTTGTTTGTTGTTGTTGTTGTAGTTGTTGTTGTAGTTGTTGATGTTGTTGTGGTTGCTGTGGTTGTTGATGTTGTTCTTCTTCTGTTTTTTTGATCGAGATTTCGGTTTGGAGATTTCGTCGGCAAAGGCCAGATGGACGAATTGGTCTGATTGACTTCGGTCAATGCCGGAGGCTGACATCTGAGCAGAAGGCGCCGACTGCAGGCAGCTAGGCACAAGTTTGTAGGTTTTGTAGCTTGGCAGCAAAACCAATCCTTTCTCGGAAGTTCCAACTTCGAAATTGAGAGAATCAGCAAGTTGCACAAGTTGCCTTAAAGCTTTGCCAAGGATTCGCATGGATTCGCCCAAATCCTGGGAGTTTGTGCAACCTTCACCACGGTTTCACGTCCGAAGGACCAATTGGCGCACCTTTTGCAAGCTGTGGCGAAGCCTGCATCCCCAGAGGTGCGTTAGGGGATGCTGACATGTAAAAAATCGAAACAACAATGATCAAAAGTGAGTTGAAGATGGCAAATGAGAAAAAGTGGACATTTGAGCCAGAAATACCAAGAAAGGATGAGTTTATGATGGTTGGAGTTGTAATCGCATGTGCCCAGCATGCGGGTTTCATTGCTGATTGAGATCCCCCTCAAGCAGGATAAAACCAAAGATCTTCAAACAGATACTGGTGGATTAACGTCCCAACATGGTCGATCTTTGACCCATGAGCTTTCAGAGGCTGATCGTCAAGTTGCCAGTGCATTTGAAGCCACAGGAGTCTGGGCAAACTGGACACCGGGAAGGGGAGAAAATCCAAAGATTCACTGGTCGGATGATGACACCGCCCACCAGATTCAGCTGTTTTGTTGCTTGCCAAGGTCAGAACAAAGCATGGTGATCAGGAATTTCTGGCTCTCCTGTGGGTGCCTTAAATCAATTTCGCACGGATGGAAGTTTGGCGTTGCTCCCCCAAAATGAGTAGATCCAATTACTGAATTTTGAGGCCACGCCTGATGTTCTCTCGAATACACACCGAGTGGATCCATGGGAACATCAAGGACAATGATTGCCTCATTTTTGTCTCCTCGCCTTGCAGTTTGCTGGAATTGTTTGGGGGTACTCCAACTGTGCCGCTTCCATTTTCGTTCCAGTCTGGTTTCTTGGCAAAGATGCAATGAGTTTGGCACCCTCTTGATCCCATGCTGCACTTCGCAGGAGGTTCTTCAACGGGATAGGATAGTTGAGGCCCGGTCGGTCCGGTTGCTCTGTCCCTGGCAACGAATTGTCGCTGTGCTGTGGTCCACAGGTGCCTGTGCACATGGTGATGGCATATCGAACAGCAGGGAGCTCATGTGGGCAGGGGCCGGGTAGGTGAACTTCCTAACATGGTGTATTCATGTCTCGTCAATGGCGGTGGGATGTTCACGGGGGTACCCATGTTTTTTGACACTTGTGTATCACTATGACATGTTCGCAGACAAGTGAGTTACAGTTGACGATGATGATTCGGTCAGGTATTCGTTATTATATGGGGATGGGTCAGGTATTCGTTATCCTATAATCCTATAGATACATTTTTAGTGGGATGAACATCCATTTACCAGCTATTTTGGGGTTCACTAGGTACCAGGGTTTTGACCCATCCCCATATATCTATATAATTTGTCATGTCTGGATCTGGAAGGCGATGCTTCTCCGTGGACTCTGCTTGGTACTCCAGGTCAGAATTGACGAACATGTTTTGACGATGGCGGAGGGACTGGGAAGGTCGTTAGGTGAGCTGCTTGGATCCTACAGTAAGTGCAGGAAAACACCTCTGTGGCAGAAGCCTGGAGTCCGTGGGCTGAACGATGGCTGAGCCAGATGGCTTGAGCGGAGTTCACAACTACCTGTGCCGCTTAAAGTGGCAGCTTCATTTGAGGTAGTTGATTCATGTAGATTCATGTAGTTTCATGTTGATTCTCTGATTTCGGCTTTTTCAGCCCCTCACTTCGCCAAAGCTTTGCAAGAACAGAAAGCAAAGCTCTCAGCTCTTGGAAAACACAGCAGATTTAGATCTCCCAATTTGGTGGAGTGCCAAGATGAGAGGAGAGTCAGTGAGCGCATCCATACCGCAGGCATGTGAATGTTGTCTGTCATACCGCAGGCATAGTGTCTTGAGCCTATACCGAGCCGGAAGGAAGCCTGTCGTTTCTATTGGCACAGACCCATTTTGATGATAAGAGTGTTTGCCATTTGATGTGCTCTAGGTTTAGTATGTGGAATCTGTCGGTATTTCATGCCAGATTCACGAAGATATGGGCCATACAATGAAGCTCATCAGCAGATTCTCACATGCCCCCAACCCATCTACCTTCAACAGATGTGCACATATCTTCAAGTAGCCCTTAGCAGAGCTTTGTCCTTGGCGTTTCCAATGGCCTCCCAGCTTGTTGGCTCGCTGATGCCGCTTCACCAATGGAGTCTCCAGTGCCCAGCCACAGATTTTTGAGAAGAAACCATGAAATGGTTGGGTTCGGAATGTTCTGAACATGCAAAGGTACGTAACTGTACCTACAAGTCGAATTTGGGTGCTTCTTTCTTTTTTTTGTGCCGATATGTGCTGGTAAAGTTTGGCTTCCTTACAGAGTTTCTGGACTGGTTCTTCCTTGATACTTTTACTTTGTTGCTTTTCAACGTTTCTGGCAAGTTTCTTGGTCAGCTTGTTTTACCTCAGGATAGTGCCGAGTGCAGGCCTGATAGAGGCCCCACTGCATGACATTAGCGCTTCACGTGCACCTTTCATTGGAATTCTTTTAGGCATTTTCGGGCCTTTCTTGCAGCTGGTTGCGAGGCATGCCTACAAGCAGAGCATTGCGATGCCGCACGATTGTAGCATTGACCGCATCAGTTTCCGCGGCGCCAGCGACGCGATCTGCTGAGCTGGAAGTGCTTTTCGGGTGATGCATTTTTTCGGAACAGCCAAAGTGATTTGGGGATGGGTCAAAACCTATCATTACTATGGGGGAATAACCATCCATTTACCAGCTATATTTGTATACCATCCGGGTACCAGGGTTTTGACCCATAATTTCTGAGGTGTTGGGTCAATGGATTTTCTCGAGAGCACTGGGCTTAGACTCTTTCCACAGGATGCACATTCCAAGGCTGTTTTTCTGGCCCAGGTTTTGCTGCGATCCCAGCCATGGTCATGGAGGCAATCCTGCCTGCTGGGCCTGGGTCCCACAAGTCCCACAAGTCGTCACTAGTCACTGGTAGAGATATCCAGGGTATGAGTCGTTCAACTTCCCACAACTCTCGTTAAGGACAGCATCTTTCAGTACGAGCCATGCTGTACTCGGCCCGAGTTTGCTGAAGATGACGAAGGACATGACATTGATGGAGATGACAGGACCATCCTGGCTGTTTTTTTTGACCAACAGGAGGACTCCACGAGAGCATCAACAGTGGCTTGCTTGCCCCGTACCCAGCACTGCAGCTTCCTTGGTTTCCATTGGTTTCCATTGGTTTCCATTTTTTGGTTTAAGTCTATTGGTATCCTCTTCGCTGATTCGAGTTTTCTCAGCGATTTCAGGTCGCACTTGAGCGCAAAGTGGATGCCATTCTTGCTGATGGAGCCAGTCTGGAATCCTTTGAAGACGACCTCAGAAGAACCATTTCTTCACCGGAGGAGCGTTCGACGCCTCTTGGCAGAACTTGGTGGAACTTGGTGCAACTTTGTGGAACATGGCGGAACGGGAGGGAGTTCTGGGTTTCTGGACGGTGAAGCATCCAAAGACTTCCTTTGATGAAATTTGGGAAACCAGGTCAGTGCCAACAGCGCGGGCTCTACTGTCAGTAGTTTTGTCGCGCCAGCAGCTCAGCAGCTCAATGGTGCGATATCAAGGCTGTGATTGTTGCTATTCTGCACAGTACCGTGCTACGTCAAGAACGTGTGGACGTGGCGGATGTGGCATTCGTCCAGGCCTTGGTCGAAAGGAAGAGGCTCAGGAAGAACTTGCTCTGGTGTGCTCCCTGGACAACTTGAACACGGATCGAAAGATGATGGCTTCAGGACAATTCTATACATACATTATTTGGACCCAGTTAAGGTTCCCAAAAATCAGGGTACAGAAAACTTGTCACATAAATTAGAAATTTGATAGAGCATAACTGTCATAAACTGTCATAAACCATGATCAACTTCTGATAAATCATGTTTTCGATGGCATCCCATGGGCATCCCATTGCCCGAGAAACCGCAAGGGGGCACTTGAGGCCTCTCAGGACCTGGCCATCGCACCCAGTGGAGCGTCAGCATCCAAGGAGAGCCCCGAATTTTGTCGCTGCAACGTTGGTGGCGAAAATGACAATCCATTGGAATTCATTGGAACTAGGGGTAAGACATTTTCAGACAAACCCGGAAGGCCCCAGATAATCAGTTCATTCATGTTCATTCGCAATCCTCTTTCGGCACCCCCGCAAGGTGGTTTCTTGGCCTTGAGCGCCACTACGCTCCTGTGCCCTTTGTTTATGTATATATATATATACATACATATCGAATTGATGATAAACATGATAATACCCATGCGCCGGCGCAAGTCTACGCCTGGTCCCAAGGTGGGTTGGCACAGAGGCAGCAGGGTATCACATGCATGACAGGCTGGGACTGAGCACATTGCATCACATTGAAATTCAACGTGATCACATTTGAAACAGCATCCAGAGCTGTTAGGCCATTTGCAGATGCCTTGGTCACCTTTTTCAAGTCCCTCGAGGTGTGCTGGGTCACTTTGTGGCATTTCTTTCCTTTGCAACGCCTGCAGGCTACAAGTGTTGGTGACTTTGGGTGCGGATTGGGCCTCTATGTCTGGAACTCAATCGACTCCCAACTCCCAGACTTCTATATGATCTATATGGTTGCAAAAAACACTGGCCAGTCCATGTAGGCAACATTTGCATTTATAGGCAATTCATGGCAATTCCCTGGTTTTTCGGAAAAAACATGAAAAAGCTGTGGAGCCATGGATATCCATTTTCCCTATTTCACAATTAGGGGACCATTAGGGGAGCCAGTTTTTTGAGCTTCGTTTTTTGAGTTTTGCAAGCGGTATATTCATGACTTCATCTATGCTTTAGAACCCTAGAACTGGGAACTGGTCCAAAGGTTTTTCAAGGTTTTGGTCTGCTTTAGAATGACCTTAAAACTTTTGGTCATTTTGAAGATCCCATGAAAAAAAAGATGGCCAGTCCAAGAGTCCAAGTCCAAGGTGCGAGATCTTCGTGCCGCTGGTCTTCGTTCTGGTGGCTTTGATGGCAACCCGGCCACCTGGGACATCACCGAGGGACGATGCCTCCAGGCACCGAGGACCTCATGTTTTAGCGACGGAAAAAGCGCCACTTTTTCAGGCAGACTTGAGCCGCGACCTGGATCTGGGGACCCGTTGGGACTGGGCTCGGAGCCCGAGGAACGGACGGGATTTGAGCATCGCAGCATCAACATTTGGGAATTTACGCATGTTTGACTCACTTTGACCAAGAAAAATAGGACTTTCACCATCGAAAATGCCCTTTAACGAGCATGAACCAACCAAGATCATAGATTCTAGGTGCCGTTTGTAATGGAATGATATATTACATTATATTACATTATATTACCATTTTTGGGTATTATTCATTTGAAGTTGGCATTGTTAGAATAGCGAAATCGTCCCAGGTTCTCTCGTTGGAAGTGGCGGAGCACATTCCTCGCCAGTTTGAGACCTCCTTCCTCCAGAATTTGGACAGGCTGGTCGTAGCTGGTGATAGATGGTGATGCTGATAGATGGCGATATGATGATATATGATATTTTATCTGATGATGTCATTCTGGTATATCCTGATGATGATGATGATGATGATGAGGAGGAGGAGGAGGAGGATGACGATGATGATGACGACCGTCGCCGTAGTGACCGCAATCCGGATCTGGCAGCAATCATGCTCTGGAGGCATGCTTGCTCGGGCATGGTGCTGTCCTGGGGGAATCAGGCAGCTTGGCCATATTCAAAGTTGGGTTGCCGACAGTCAAGTTTCATTTTGAAGCCTAGTTTCAATTCACGATTTGGTGATTTGATGAACAAATTGGATATACTATAGTAGCCGCAAAAAGATAGGAAAGTAATCCAGCAGTACCAGTATTTCAATAGGATTTTTCATGTCTGTATTTTTGGGAATGCCATGATTAGTCTAATTGTTTAACCCTACGGATGTAGGATTTGACGGGACTTCGGTTGATTTTCGCCAGGCAGGAGAAGGTCATGTGAATCTGCGGACCTCCGACGAGGCAAGTCGTGTTGTGTTGACCCTCAACATTGGATTTTCCCTGTAAGACCACTTTACCCTCTGGTTATTTAACATAGCTATGAAAACATGGTTCATTTACAGATGGTTTACCTAGTAAAAATGGTGATGTTCCATGGCTATGTTAAATAACCAGATGGTTAAACCAATACCAGAATTATAGGGATCTTCAGGGTCAAAGCAGTCCATGCAGTCTCTTGTTCTTGATCTCTTATTGGTGTCTTTTCTTTGCCAGGTGGAAATTCTGATGCGAGAGCACGGTTTCCACAGACTGGAACTGAGATTGGGAGAGTTCTTGAATTACTGTCTCACTGTCTGCGAGCATGTCTGGAAATGGAGTATGCCCCCAACATGCCAATTATAATGGGGACATGATGATCAACCATGACAATGTTGGGGTACCCTAGTTTCAGATAAATTCACGTCTTCAGCAGAATCTGATCTGACGTTCTGATGTGTTTTACATGGACATACCCTGAGGTTTGTCAGACAAGACAGCTGAGCTGCGAGCAGCAGCAACGTTGCAGCGTCCACAGGGTAGACACTATGAGAATCAGCTTTGTTCAAGAGAAAGAGAGCAAATTAGCCAAGATCCTCTCAAGAGAATTTCACTGCCTTCTCCCCTGCAACTGGGGTTCCATCGAAGACACTGGCTCTTGCTGGGTTTGGATTTTTCATGTTTTCAGTTGCCCTTGGCTATACCCTGATGTCCCCTACACGTGTCATACCTTTCCCAGATGCAGCGAACATTTGCAGGACACCTCCATAGGCTGTGAAAAATCCATGGTTTCTTTCGATTTTTCCCAGGCCGTGGCTACAAAGTACGGTGATGGTCTTCAAGCGCGCCTGGCCTGGAAGCCGCGGGCTTTTAGGTTGCTGAGAAAACGAGAGCACTGCCGCCGAAGAGTTGGATAGAATCGGATAGAAATGCAGAAACAGCAACTACCATCCTGATCCATCCTGGACGTACTTTTCTATCGGGGCTTACCATACATCGGTTGGCAGACCCGTCAGTCGTGGAGTTGGAATTCTCCCGCAAATCTGGGCTTTCAGGGGATGCGTGGCTGAAATCAGGAATTGTTTGTAGTCTGCCAGACACACTGACTTGCAGTATTTTGTTATATTTTGTCAGCATCCGAGATTTTGTTTGCGTATCATGAACCTATTGTCCCCGCGAGCAATGGATACGGAGATGCTTCAGCGTCCAGATGAATTTGCAACTCTGTGTGATTGCTTGTTCAGGAGCCCTGGAATTATTGGCAGCGTCGCGTGTACTTGCATTTTGTAATTTCACGCAATTTTAGTGGTATTGGTTCCGGCATGTCTCCCTCTCTCTCTCTCTCGCTTGCATGCATGTGCATTGTATTACATTTTCACAACCACATACACACACACACACATCACAATTTCCCTGAAGGTCTGGCGTGCTGAGGCGCCAAATTGTTTGATGTGTCGAACAATATCGGAGATGAGAGATGTTTCTTTGTTGGGTGAGCAGGTAGCCAGTTAGCCAGGTAGCCAGGTAGCCGTGGATTTGAAAGTCTTCAGTGCTCGTTGTGTTTCCAGATTTCCATAGATTTCCCAGATTTCCAGGCGCGACACCTTCCTTGCAGCCCTTCATCGACGTCGATTTGAGGCTGTGCGGAAAGCCCATCCCTATGCGACCCACAAAAGTGGACTGTCATCGCCTCAGGATGCCTTCAGGGCACGCCCGTTAGGGCCATGGGTTGAGAGGTTGGCTTTTCCGAACTGGTTTATTGGGGATGATTAGAAAACAATTTATAACCCATTTCTGGGGATAGCTAAGTCACTAAGTCATTATAAATAACCCATTTTCAAGGGGACACCTAAGTTTCTATGCTGTTTTGGAAGTTGCCAGAGTTGCCATTTGCCAAGGGCCGATGTTTTTCGAATTGGCGAGCTGGCAGCAACAGCTGCGAATCTCAACCGCATTAATCGGATGAATCCCTTTTCATGTCTTGACTTTGGCTGATTTGGAAAAGCATATTCATTCTTATCATTCTTCCCGTGGTCAGGCATAGTCTTGACAATCCGATTGGCTGACCTGTTGAGCCGTTTCCATACATGTTCAATTTTTGGTTTGATATCGCTTCAGTATATTAATGTTAAACGAGAGGAGAACCAAGGTAACCAGACCACCCGATAACCCCAGCAGCACTCCCTGGAGGTCCTTCCTCTGCCTGGCCGATGCAAGCCGGCTGCGGGAGCTTTCCAAGCAAACCAGAGCAGTGTCCAAAGGGGCAGTGTTCAGTGACCCGTCTCTCTTAGTTACTTCTTAGTTATATAATATACTTTTTAGTTATGTCTTAGCTCTGTTTGGAGTTGTTTGGATTTCTTGGTCATGGTGATGGCCCGAGATTGCAAGTGTTAAGGCCATCCTGATGCTCGGGCGCTCTTCGTCTTGGGGTGCCAGCATCAAGATCTACAGAGTTTTGAAACCATTTCGCAGCTGGGCTGCGAAGGTCGAGGTTTTGAACAAAAACAGCACCGAAGGTCGCCGAAGGTCGATGTTGTGATGTTCAACTCACTTTGGTGTCTTTGGCGGCTGTGAATCGTTTCACGTTTAAGGCATTTTGATCCAACACGACATTGCTGGAACACTTTAAACGTGCCGCCGTCCCTGACCACTGGGTCTCGGTCCTTTTGTATGCCTGCTCCTGAGATGTTTGCATTGTGTCAGAAAGGAACTCTTGATATCTTGCTTGGATTGGATTTCAAGAAGTGTTAACATCGCTTTCCTGAAGGCCAACATTGCTTGGAGTTGATGGATTCTCGGCATGGCAGTTCTGCTAATCATTAAATCGACAGAGCAAATCTGACAGAAAAAGATCTGCAAAGAATCAGTACCAGTTGTCATCAGCTGCCCAGGTTTTCTGTACATTTGTGGTGCCCAGAGCCAGCATAGCGACGCGCCGCTTGAATTAATTTATATATATATATATATTATATTATATATATTATATATATTATATATTATATATTATATATTATATATATTATATATTATATATTATATATATTATATATATTATATATTATATATTATATATATATTATATATTATATATTATATATTATATATATATTATATTATATATTATATATTATATATTATATTATATATTATATATATTATATATTATATATTATATATATATTATATTATATATTATATATTATATATTATATATTATATATTATATATTATATATTATATATTATATATTATATATTATATATTATATATTATATATATTATATATTATATATTATATATTATATATTATATATTATATAATATATGTTATATATTATATATTATATGTTATATGTTATATATTATATGTTATATATTATATATTATATATTATACATGACATATTATATATTATATATGATATATTATATATGATATATGATATATGATATATTATATATTGTATATTATATATTATATATTATATATTATATTATATATATATATATTATATTATATATTATATTATATATATATGTATGTATTTGTTATTTATATCAATTTCCATGACATCGTGGACTTTCAGCGAGGATGTGCCTCCATCGCCTTGAGCGATCCAAATGGATCACGTTGTGCACATCTCAGCAAGGTTCAGCTGCCTGCCACATGAGCATCTCAGCTGACTCGGCTAAGGCCACCTCTTCCCACTCCACGCAGGGCTTCCAACAGCTGGCCTGCCATCTCCTCTTTGAAGGCCGGTTGCTGTAGATCGGTACAAATAGAATCAAATAGATACAAATAGTACAAGCCTAAGAGGCTGCAGAACTTCCTTGTGCAAAAAGCGACCTGCACGTTGCGGCGTTGGCAGGGCCGGATTTACATCTGTGGAGGAAGTAGTGAGTATCTCAGAAGCTGAAAGCAAAGAGGAAAAACATGGTATGCTGTGAATAGGGGGAGATGGCTCAAATTTAGTTTAGTCCAAAAGATGGAACGTTTGATGTGGTTCAATTGGCTCAATAATTCAGTGGCATCCCAATTCTGAGCCAGAGCGAGATGTTTGATTCTGAGGCCATGACGAGGACTATTTGAGTGCAGTGGACTGCTTCGATCCGAGACTCGCCTCAAATCTTTACAATCACAGTCATAATGTCTCCATGGGATTCAGTTCCAAGAAGCATTGAATGGTTTCGACGGATTTCGATGGTTTGGTTGCAGAGAAAGATTACTTATTGGCAAAAAACATGGTTTCCTGGTTACATTTCTCTTCAGTTGTCACCTTTTGCCTGTTTAGCAACGCTGCCTCCCAGGTTGAGTTTCCAATGGGAGTCATTTGCACCTATGGGAACAGCACGTGCTTGTGCAGTGGCAGAAGCTCTTGGGGGAGAGCTTTATGTGACTTGTACAATTTGGATGCATTATTTGTTTTTTTTGCATGGTCCAGAGAATGCTGAGTCAGGCTTATTCGAGTCGCTTCGCGATGAGTGCCGCCCGCAGGACAGAGAGGAAGAAGCGGGCCTAGTTGGCCCAACCAAAAGCAGAATGGGGTCAAACTTGGCCGTCCTTGGCCTTATGTTGGGCCGAACAGGAGCCAGCTTGGGCCTGACTTTGGCCCCAACTTCGGCCCAACTTGAGCCCAACTGGGGCCCGACATGTTGCAACTTGGGCAAGTTTGGACGCAACTTGGGCTTAACATGCGCAACTGGGTCCGGTGTTGGCGCCGAAGTTGGGCCCAAGACAGGCCCAGTGTGGAATTGGAGCTGATGTTGCTGCCATGTCGGATCGAAACGGCGCATTCGGCCGAAGTTGGGCCGATCTGCAGAAGGTGCAAATTACCAGTCCCGTGCACTTTTTGGCGGGGGGTGCCCCCTGTGCCCACCCCGAACTGAAGCTGTGCCAGGCGGATGTGTCATGTAATGCAATGTAACGTAACGTAGTGTAACGTAATGTAATGTAGTGAGATGTGATGGGAGAACAACCGCTTGGAGTCTTGCATTCCAGGCATTCCATTTCCTCAATTTGTCCGCATGAAAACCCTGAAAGCATGACCCTGTCCTGGCGAGGAATGGAAGATGCGCATCTAAAGATTCCCAAGCATTTCTTGCTCGATGGAAGTATGCACCTGAGGGCTATGTGTATAGCCGTATAGCGTTTAATTTACATAAATACATAATATACTGATAATATACATTTATATACAAGTATACATATATACAATTATACATATATACAATTATATACATATATACAATTATATACATATATATACAATTACATACATATATACATATGTACATATAAACATATTCACATAAACACACACACATATATATATATGTAAATGTATATACACATGTGTATATTTATATATATATACACATACATGTATATACATGTGTACATATATACATACCTGCCTCTTCCAAAGTGGGTTTAGTTTCTGCCTTTTGCCAAATAAATGGGTTTTGCACAAGAACGACCTTCTTGGGTAAGCCAGAGTTTCTTCTGATATATTGCTGCCAAGCCAGATTTTCAGCGGCGAAAATACCCGACCAAACGGCAAACATACCCGACCAAACGGCGAAAATACCCGACCAAACGGCGAAAATACCCGACTACGTGGGCTGACAATTTCAAATTCTCACAACGGCATTTATTTTCAGGAACGGCGTTTTTCCGCAAGAACGGCAACAATACATACATACATACATGCATGCATGCATGCATGCATGCATACATACATACAGACAGACAGACAGACAGACAGACATACATATACACACGCACATACACATACACATTCATACACATACACATACATACACATACACATACACATACACATACACATACACATACACATACACATACACATGCATACACACATGCATACATACACACATACACATACACATACATACATACACATACACATACACATACACATACACATGCATACACACATGCATACATACATGCATACATCCATGCATGCATGCGCATGCATGCATACATACATACATACATACACGCATACACACATACACATACACACACACATACATATATAGATAGATATTATAGAGATACTTAGATATATTCATTATAAACATTTGTATGTATAATATGTCACGGTCAGGAGCAAGGAAGGAAAAGGCGAGGGAAAGAGGTTCAATCAGATGATCGCCAAGTGGCTCAACCGAAGCGCGTTCGGTTGGGGGCACTTTGTATTTGGGAAAGTAGAGTGCTAGGAGCGTAATGTTGACGCTGATATGCTACGATGTCAAGGGGAGGGTTCTGGAATGGTTGTGGTGCATGCGAGCTAGAACATCATGATACGCTGCTGTTAACCTGTCAGCAACATCGAATGGTAGCTTATTTCCATGCAAAAAATGACACGCAAAGGTCGCGCCACATATTCTCTCAATACACATCTCTCCTTGCCCATCTATTTTTCGCCCCTTCGCTTTGGCCTCAACTTACCGCAATACCAGAAATTGTCTGTTTCAGGTATGCGGGGGAGAGACTGGAACATCGAACATAGACGACTTCATCGCGCTTGATACGGCAGAGCGTTTCAGTCCAATGGAGTTTTGGCTGCACAAAAGTCAGGCAGTGTACCAATGTGCGACCCAGAATCTACGTGGATTAAACATTCAAATGAAACATCTCAATATATACAATCTAGTGCTGTCACCAAACTCCATGCATCCAGTCCTATTCTGTTCTTTTTGCGGTCTGGTCACTAGAGTCCAGGACCCATGTGCCTTGAATGTTGACCAGGAGTGCTTTCTTTTCACCATGTTTCCCTAGGTCTCTTTCTCTTTGTTCTACCTTCAACTTCAGAAATACTGGATTTTGAGGGTTCTCAATAGGGTTTCCAATTTTCAAAGACACCCAGGTTATCTGGCGTTTCGACCTGGCAGCCTAGATTCATGATTGGATTCATGGCTTTGTCTGAAAATGTTCGGACAACCCCGAAATCCATTGCTTGATCATCTATCATCAGTTTTCCCTACCATATCTACTATTCAGAACACGGCAATCTTTTGGGTCAATTCGCCATTTCACAGACACGCACACACACACAGAGATGTGTGGAACGACGCTAAGACTGGCTGCTGGGAGACTTTGCCTCCAATGTCAGAGCCGCGGGGAGGAGACGCCAATGGCGATCCGAACATCGTGGCATGCGTACTCGGAAACTACCTCTATGCCACTTGTTTTTTTAGATGATTTTGGCATATTTTGTCTTGGTATGTATTGCTATGTGGGTCATTTTTTTGATTTTTCTCTCTTTGTCAGCAGTGTTAACATGGTAATTTCGCAGGCTATGATTATCTTCGAGTGTTGATTTCCCTTGATTTGTGGCGACCCGTGGACATCCGTCACGAGGTCAGAGGCGGACACGAGGTGGATAGCATGGAGCGTTCCTTGGACCCAAAATTTCGCCGCTATGGGATGCTATGGGATGCTATGGGATGCCATGGCTATGGTTGACCTCAAGGGATGCAGTAATTCAATGTAATTCAATCATGTTACCATAGTTACCATGTTCAATACATTTCAATACCGAGACCCAGCAATTTTGTGGGTCAGTTGAGTCAATTGGTACGGTATTTTGGGAACGGCCTCACTTTTGCAGAGCTGATGCAGGCAGGAAAAACCTGAGGCTTTAATCCTGCGACCCATCAATGGGAGAGCCTTCCACCCATGAAGACGCCTCGCTATTATGTCAGGACCTCAATGACATGGGCTAATGGATGGCTAATGATATGGGAGTCTGTAATAGCTGATAGCTGTAATGAGTCTAATACGCTGTAGATTTTGACAAACTGGAGGCTGCCATGGTGGCATTCAACAACCGGATCTATGTGCCTTGGCATGTAAAGTCAGAAGCGGCGCCCAGAGCATGTGGTGACTGCTCAAGGTTTGTGGTGGTAAAGATGACAATGATGCTGAGGACTGCACCTGTTGAGGTTTGGTTACCAAATCTGCAACTCACCGGAATTCCGGACATTGCTAGTGCCAAGTTCTAGGGTGATGGCTGTGGGTGAAGCAAGGGATAGGAGTAGCTGGTGGTTGCTGGAGCTGGTGGACATGTTTCTCCTGCGAGGAGCTAAGCTCAGTGGAAGGATTTGATCCTGCCACAGGCTGCTGGGAAGTGCTCCCATCAATGAACACTCGACGTGCAAATGCTGGTGTGGTGGCTTCAGAAGGTGTCAAGGCCGCATATGACAATTTTGACTGAGCTGTTTTAATGTTGGACTTGGAGACTTAGGAACGGAACGTTGCAGAAGCAAAGTCAGCTAAGGTTATGTCTATATTTGTGGAGGCTGGGTTGCCTGCAATTGCAGAAGAGTTCCAGAGGAGTCGTGCAAGTCTGCAAGTCTTGCTGCAAATCCATTTTGCAGAACGCGTCTTTCGATCCACTGACTGATTAGTGCGTGTGTGGGCTGGTATTGCGAAGACATTTTCTGCCACAGATGCCGCAATCTGCAATGTTTAAAATCGCAGTGACCTCCTTTCATTGGCGAGCCCTTTCGCGCTTTTTGTTCCAACTTTTAACGTGTCTAGTTCAACATCCCTGAACCCGGGCACATACACCATCCGACATTGAAACCTAAAAAAAGTTGGTAGCGAGGTAGAATCTATTCCGACAGTGGCCCTTCAACCTGTTTGCGCTCAGTGGAGCGCTTCTGCTTAGCAAGGCTGGTGGGATGATCAATCCGAAGGGCCCGAAGGGCCCGAAGGGCAGAGTGTTTGCAGCACGCGTGATATACATTAATATATGACATACATGAATATACATGAATATATGATTTATGGGACCATTTTGGGAGGATAAATGGATGAAGATCATTTACACAGGCTGTTCACGAAAGCTAGCTGTGCTAGCTGAAGTTGCTCTTGCTTTAGCAAGGAATAGGTTAGACCCCCCCTTGGCAGGCCCACATTCGATCCCCCCCTGGTCTCCCCGAGCCTCCCCGAGAGGAGATTTCCGGGTCATCATCCTCATTTTCATCTTCATCCTCACCCTCCTCATCCTCCTCATCCTCCTCCTCCTCCTCCTCATCATCCCCATCATCCCCATCATCCGCAGCATCCACCATCATCATCATCATCATCATCAACAACATCATCATCATCATCACCACCATCACCATCATCATCACCATCACCATCACCATCACCATCACCATCATCATCATCATCATCCTCTTCGTCCTCCTCGTCGTTGATCAGCATCCTCATCCCCTGGTCTGCTGGGCCATTGGTTTCCTGCAGGTATAGGGTCGTCCTCTTCAGTATTTCATCTTCAGGACGTCATGTTCAGTAAACCAACCAACAACTCTATGAAATCATCATCGGAAACTTGCCGGCTTCCAAATGATCATAATTATCTTCCTCCTCCTCCGCCGCCTCATCATCATCATCATCATCATCATCATCATCATCATCATCATCATCATCACCATCCCCGTCATTCACAACATCCACATCATCATCATCAACAACATCATCATCCTCATCATCATCCTTATCATTATCATACATATGTTGCATTGTCTCGAACATCTTTATGCAGATTCGGGCTTCCATTTGTTTTTTTTGATATTGCGTTTCTTTTGCTTACAACACTTGGCGAGAGACGATTACTGCATTGGGGGGTTTTCTCTTGCTGGACTCAATAGATTTTGCAACCCTACACCAACCCGTTGCCGAATTCCGACTTCACCTTGCTAATCCTCCTTTACGATTACCACCCTACCCCAGCCCTGCTAGCTTTCGTACCTCCCCCCTGGCCTCAAGTTTGATATTCACCAGGCTACGGCTTGACCCATACTATTATCCATCGAGAGTCATTGATTTCCAATCGGTAATCCCTCAGCAGGGTGCGGGGCACCAGGCGATGTTGGGAAGTTCTGCCTCCGATGCCGGAGGCGTGTATTGAACCACACTCTGTGCTGCTGGAGCAATGCAAATCTGGTAAGCGACTGCACGTTTCCCCCTAAAATATGTTTTTTTCATATTTTTTTACTACGCCACAACATATCCGAACCCAACATTTACCGTTCATATACTGTACAGTCTTTTGCTTGCAATGTTGAAGTTGGTTTCCGGATATAAGAAAGTGCGTCGGGTTTCGTCTCATTCAAATTGCAAGTAGCTGCTACAGTAGTTATGTTTCAATTAAATTTATCGATTTCGGCCTTTGCGGTCAAAGTACTTGCCATGGGCTGATGTAGATTGCAATAAGCAGTCTTTGGGTTTTCCAGTATTGATTAACGGACTCTATTGATGAACTTTCTGTACATAGATTGCGCGCCTTCGACCAAAAATAGTCAAACATCATCAAGGCTTGCAAGAACCAAAGAATCCCCGAGATGCAACAGCGAAGACTCCGCGAATTTTGGTGTGTTGTTCATTCTGGTTTCTTGTATTTGTCCAGTTGTCCTGCAGTCTTTGAGCCAAACCATTTCGTGAAGTGATGCTGTAAACTTGCCGAGTCAAGAGCGCCGTCTTTTTTTGCTTGTCCATCAGTCCATCCAATCAACTTTGAGAGTTTTTGAGTTGACGCAAGAGACAACTGGAATCCTCCAGCCCTTTGCCACTGCCATGGTAACGAAGAGCTCGCTGTGCCATGGCAGAAGATGCCCTTGCCTGAAGACGTAAGCTCGCTGAGCGCGAGCGCAAGTTCATCCCGACGCAGGAGGAGACAACGGCAAGCCGACTCATCCAACTTGACATGTAGCTGGTCATGTTCAAGAAGCCTGCTGATCATCGCAACTTGTCGAAAATGCTCTCCCCTTAATTTCACGGGGAAATTGATCATCAGTTGTGGCTGTCGGTTCCCAAATTTGGACATTGCCAGATCATCCCAGATTGAAATATCCTTTGGGGATCCCCCATAAGAACCCTCCATATGTTGAAGTCACTTTCTGATAACTAGTGATGTGCTACAAAGGCTGTTTTGGCGACGATTCTGCTTTTGGCAGTGAGCTCCTACCAGTGATTTGGCCGCACCATGCATCCCATGATATTTGTGCTTGTTGGTTTTGAATACATATAGTAAACCCCAAAACATAGAAAGTGCAATTTTAATATGATTTTGCTACATTTTACTTTGCCTGTATCTCTTTGGTGTTTAGTATATTATGTTTTTTTTCATTTTGGGATCAATGATGATACAAGCTCATACTTTGGCGATATTTTGGGGATGTTTTGGGACGAGATTGAAACCGCTAACCAGAGATGCATTCTGTGCTGGACTGGGTGTGAGAAACTGAAGTTGCAGTCAGGGCAGATGCCTCTTCATTCGTGAACATCTATATGCAAACGGCTCGCGCCTGAGTTCCCCCTTCAACTCGTTCTTTCCGGCTGCGGATGCCAAAACGATCTAAGGGCACTGCTGGAGAATACGTCCTCGGCAAAGGCCAAAGCGGCACAGCATCACTGTGTTGCTGGTTGGCTTCGGAATTTTTGTATTGTCTGGAACCAAAAGATGGTTCACCCTCAGCAGCCAGCAAAAAACAGATCAAATCGGATTAACACTATCAAATTCAGCTCAGAAAAGCAACCATAACTGTATGAGCTAGGACTGTAGAAATCACCCATTTTGATTTTGCGTATCCCTATGTGTCCCCCATCATTTCCAGCAGGCGATGGTGACAGCAACGGCACAGTTGTCACAGCTGTCACCGCTGTCACTGCTGCTTCATCGACGACGAGTTCAGCCACCCGGCGCGAAGCGAAACGTCCTTTGAGTCATCAAAGATAGCCCTGTTTGTTAACATAGGAGTTTTATATGTATCTGTATATATATACGAATTGGTTGATTGGGGATTACTGATGAGAATTGATACCCTTAATAGATCTTCATAGGGACACCCATTTACCATCCAGTCAGGTGATGGTTGACCAGTAGGTAAATTGGATGAATGCCAGCAGATGACCAAGGTTGCGACGGTTGCGTTGGAGCCATCAACGTCTTTTGTCTGCATTTCCGGGTTGGATACTGTCAAAGAATTGGACGGGAAACACTAGGACCCCCAATCTTCCGGGTTGAAAATAGTTCAACCATGTTACACCATCTCAAACCCAACATTTCCTGTTAATTTTTCCTCAAACCCATTGATGCTCTAAGATGACACTTGAGGACCACTGGAACCACCGGACCTGCTCCACCGCTGGTAGCTGCGACGGTAGCAACGACAGCCCCAGCCACTGCGACATCAGAGACCCAGGGTGCCCCCGGGGGACCAGTGATGCAGGCTGGGAAGCTGTGGGAAGCTGGGAAGAGATTGGCAATGACCTGAGACCAGTTCTTTTTGGGATGATTTTATGGAGCACACTTACCCTCTGGTAAACTAACATAGCTATGGAAAATCACCATTTCTAATGGGAAAATCAACTATAAATGGCCATGTTCAATAGCTATGTTAAATTACCAGAGGGTAGTTAGTTCATGCCTTGAATTTTGGGATTCGCCTTGCCAAATGTCGGAGCTGCTTTCATTTTTTGTCCATGCAGGTCACTGATGGCTCTGGAAGACTTGGCAATAATTTAGCCTTTATTCTTCGCAGCTGGGCAGCGAACAACCTGAACAGACTTGGATCAGGTAATATTAGGTATCATTGGATGATGTTTCTTCATTTTGTTCAGCATTTCATAGGGATTTTGTTCTTTCCAACAGACTCTGAGGTGGAATTCTCTATGCACAGATGACTCAACATGCGGCCGTCACGTTCAGCCTCACCAGCAAGCCTTGCAAGGAGCTGTTTGAACCCAAGGCCCGGGAAACGGCATGGCGAGCGGATGTCAATCATATGTGTCTGGAAATGGGATATTGCAGCCCAATTGGCAATTTCAATGGACAACATGATGATCCATTGGGATTGGGGGTAATTTCTATTGAGTTTTCCATGAGAGATTTTCACATTAACAGCCAGCCATTTTTGATGTGAACGTCCCAGCGTTCCTTTGACATTCCAGGCAGTGTTGCCATTGGGGGGCGCCAAGATTGAAGGTCCTCGCTTCTGTCCAGAGAAGTTGCAGCCCTGGAATGAGAATATGGAGAATAGATATTGAATAGATGAGAATAGCATTGGATAGCAAAGGTCTGCAAAGTTTCTGAGATCAAAACAGATTGTTTGGAATTTCCAGTTGGATAATATCGTGGGCTGAGGTCTGACAAGCGCCAAGAAGGAAGGCCAGTGTACAACTTTCAGGTGCCATCGATGAGAGAGGATACTTTCAAGAGGAAACGAAAATCAAAAGCTGTGCTGCACATGTGGCCGATCATCATTGAATAAGTCCTCCTTTTCCAAAACTGTTAGCTGCGAATGACTGTAGCCTGCACCCTCCGCAGGGTGAACGATGCAAGGGAAGCACTGCAAAGGCAGGTCCATTTCGTGTGTAGCTACAACGCACCTCGTGCTCGACCATTCATGTCCGAGAAACTGTTAGGATTGAATAGGATTGACACGGATATTTGTACCCAAAATTTGAAGACAATCCAAACGTGCGGTGGTCTATTTCAGCCGGAAATCTAAAGGTTGGGGTATCGCCAAATGCTTGGAGACACGGGCATTTCTTGATGATCTTGATGTTTGCAGCTGTTTTCTCTTGCAGAGACTTGCCCAAGATCTCTCCCAAAGCTGCCGAAAAAGGGCGTGGCAATGAGCTCTGCGCCAGCTTCCAGTCGATCTATCCTGGCGGCAGCCGATTGCATCAAAAAAGCAGATGCTTTGCTGATTTGCACTGGTGCAGGGATGGGAGTAGACTCAGGAATCTCAGCTGAAAGAAATATTTTCTCCAAAATTCATCCGCTTTCATCATGACATTCAATCATAGATAAAAGATGATAAAAGTAGGCACAGTAGGCTGAACCTGGTTATAAAATGTTATATATTAGGTTTCCGGGGACCGTATGGGAGCCATGTGCGCAGGTTTGGGCACCTTTCGTGGTCGCAATGCCGGCGTGTGGCCTCCGCTGAAAGCGATGCAGATGGACTTCAGCGCAATGTCAAGCCCAGATTGGTTTGATTCTGACCCAAGGCTGGCTGATTTTGGAGACTGAGGATGAAATATGATGAAATGCTGGGTTGAAACAGTTGAAACCACAAATGGTAGGATTGACCTTTTGCAAAATGTGAAACGACGACATCATGAGCGAAAGAGTCCGAAAGAGCTTTGAGTTTCAGGCTTGCTTGGGCATTCTGGCGCTTTCGTCATCAAGCATACACTCTTGGTGCCCCTCACATGGGCTACAGTCTGCTTGCAAAGTGGGGAAACAGCATGAAGTACCTTGGCACTAGCTGCGATCCCCAGAATCAGTCTCTCTCTCTCTGTCTCTTTATACTGGGGTTTCTTAAAATGGGGGTACCCCCAAAATCAGCCAATTATATCCATTTAATAGGATTTTCCATTTTTAAACCATCCATTTGGGGGTACCCGCATTTTGGGAAACCTCCATAGCTCACAGCTTTCCGCTTTGTCCAAGGCATGGCTTATTCTCAGTGACTTCCAACATCGATGGACATTGGGACCGCACGGAAGGAGTTGGTCCTGGGAAAGTCTACGAATGTCATGGAGCCGCTATGCCTGTGCTGTCCCATGTGTGTATGGATTAAACTACATATGTTGAAATTCATCAATCCCCCAAAGTGGGTGGTTTAGTGCTGAACATATCTGAACACGATCGATCGATTGTGGATCCATTGGTATTAAAATGACTTGACCTATGTCAATCTTTATAGGTAGCAACTTTGAAGTTGTTCTTTGAAACCCACATGTGACAAGCTGCATGAGTGAGTTGAGGCTCTCACCAGAATGCAATGCGTGGAAGACGATGACAACATTTGGCCCACTGATGCGAAAGATGTGGCCAGCATACAGGTCCCAGAATGGGATTTGCAACCTGGGGATGAGGCGCAACGCGACATGGATTCTTATTGGGGAAGCTACATGATCAGAATAGAACCTATGTGGATAACGAAATGATCAGAGCTGCCTCAACTTTGAATGTCGTTTTTGCATGTTTCTTCTGGGAATACTCTTTCCATCCACCATCCCGTCGCAGTTTGATGAGTTCTGTCCACTGACTTTTCTGATCTGGTGCATCTGGTGCCTTCTGTGCAGGTTTGTGCACTGGTTGCTGGGAAGGAAGTCCAAGCCATCGTGCAGGAGGACGGTGCGTCCTTGACGACGAAAGATGGTGAGCCCATCAGCGCCAAACGCGTGGCTAAAGCCGGCGGCGTCGACCTGCTGCGGAGCCTCGAAGGCAGTCCGTTGCCACGGAGCGCGGACGGGAAACCGGCACGGCCCAATGTGTTGATGTTTGGTGACTGGGGAGTGAACTGTAGGATCATTCAAGAACAGCAAGGCCGCTTCAACCAGTGGCTCAAAGATTTGCCGGAAGCAGCCAAGTTGGCGATTGTTGAAGTGGGAGCTGGCAAAGCAGTTCCAACCATCCGATTTACTTCTGAACGAGTCTTGAGTCAATTCAAGAATGCATCTTTGATCAGAATCAACTGGGACGACAGCGATGTTCCACATCATCTGGGGGCTCGTTCCATATCCATTGGAGGTGTGGGGGCACTGGAAACGCTTACACAGATCGACGAAGCGCTGAGGAAATAGTCAAAGCATGTCAAATCCCACTGACCAACATGACTTTGTCCTTATCAGCAGAAAAGTTTGCTGCCTGAATAGTTGGCTTCGTTGCCCATTTGTACAGAGGCTGAGGATGCGGAAGCCAAAAAGTGCTGCAGATTTTCCAGAATTCTGAGATGAAGTCTGTGGGTTGTGGCAGATGTTCTGTGATATCATATCTTCAATAACTTGTATAGTGATAATATGTGATAATAGTAGTATAGCCATAGCAGTATAATTATAATCAATTTTGCATAGCCCTGTCTTTCTCTATCAGACTCTATCATTTTTGTATATTTTTGTGGCATCTCTGTAGGACTTTCACTCCCTGGCGCTGGAGACACTGGTGCAGGCGCTTCTCCCGCGCTGCCAGGCTTTGGATCCGGTCTTGGGTCGGAGTTTTGTGGGTCGCTGCCAGGCGTTTCGACCGGAGTTCAAGACTTGACCGGTCCTCAGTTGCAGAGTTGCAGATATAAACATCTATAAGGATCTATAAGGGCTTTGTGCATAATTCATTGGCATTCATTGACTGACGCTTTTGGAATCTTTATGGACTTGGGAACGAAGCAGCAGTGCTATTTGATATTCTCCTTACATCGCAGGTTTGGATGCAGTTTCTGCACCGGAGGTCACAGCTAAGGACCAGCCTCTTTCGAAGGGTTTCTTTGGATAGTTTTTTTTTCGCTCGTGTGCGCTTAAAATACACCATTCCATCAATTCCATCCACTGGTTTATCAATATTTTATCAATGTTTATCAGCACCATGGCGGATATTTTCCGCATCAACATATGGCCATTTGGAGGGATGATAAACATTGCCCGACCCGTTTCTGATGTCTTGAAACTGAAATGCCAGGAACTGACCGTGCATCTCCGAGGGCAAGACCTTTGGGGAATGCAAGAGTTTGAGCTGACATCGGACAAACCCATCCCACTAGAGGCCCATGTCCGGTAAAGATAAACCATATCTGAGCTATGTTCAAAAATAGCGATCCGATGACTCCGATGACCAATCTTGTAACCCGTTGGGTCTTGAGCCACAATTTAGGGGTGGCCACATCATTGGCAGTGTGCCGTATGGACGACATGCCTCCCGGAGGCCAATGCGCATCATTGGCTATGGCATCAGCCGTTTCCACCTTGGGCTTTTGCAGCGGATCAACACGTTTTACTTTCATAGATCATCATAGATCAGAAAACAGCTTGGCGTCCCAGAAACAACGTCCAAGGCCTTGCACAATGTATCGCAAAATCATTGTGGTGGACTTAGGGTTCAGACTCAGTTCAGACAGGACACAACTCGCCAGCCTTTTCTGCTTTTGTTTTTTTTGGGCTTAGGTCGAAGAAGGCTGGCTTGAAGCAAGCTACCCGAACAGGAAAAATGACAGATTGCCCATGGCACAAAAACTCATTGTCGACTGCACAGGCTTTACCAAAGTGATTGTTGTGACAAGTCCTGACCTGCTCCGCCGGCGTGTTTGCACAGAAGGTTTGCCGACTTCAACACTTGAAGCCGTTTTCAAACTCAGCCAAGCTGTGTCCCGTCAGGCGACATGTTTGTGTTGAGTGGCTGAAGTCCAACGCAGCGAGTCTTGGTGTTGAGGCACCTTTGCTTAGCTTCGTAGAATATCATAGAAATTCATAGAAAATTATAGAAAATATGTCTTGTATTTCACCATATTTCACCATTTTTCACCTGCCACCTGTGATGTTTTTGGAGGTCGTCATTCAATCTGGGAGTCTCCGAGAGGCCCAACGGCTCAACTTTCGTCAATCAGTGGCTGTCGCGTCTTCCGTTGTTACTTTCTTCTCTCGAAAACAGAACTTGGCTCGGACAGTGTATCCACATATTCCACTACCAAGTAACCAGTATCAAGATGTATCAAGGACTTTTGCGCTCTGGCCAAAGCATCCAATTTGGTCTGGGACTTGTCGGATCTCTGATTGAGTGAAATTGATCGAAAGGGACAGTGATGCCGCAAGTCCGCGCTGAGGTCCTTTCCTTTTCCACCCTTGGCGACAATGCAGCAGTGTGGGCGACCAAAACTTGAGATGATAAAGGCATGATTGGTCTAGGTCTATATACGTACTGTAAATATTTCTCTGCAGAAATGTTTGATCAGTTGCGATTCTTTGAGCCCTGGAGTGAAATTGATCAGTGCTTGTAGCACAGGTTGAACAATCAAGTGAAGAAGATCTTCTTCCGAGAATTTGCACAAACGCGACTTGCCGCAAAATGTGCACGATCAGCCACCAGTGTTTCATGGTTGAGCACCGGTGAGTACGAAAGGGCAAAACATGGCAGACCATGCCAATCTTTGGAGCTGGATTCCATGATTTGCTTTCATGAGGGGAAAGTGAGGTTCATGGGTGCATGATCATTGATATCATTGATCACACTTGATGTACTTATTGCACTTTATTAATGATAATATAATATATATAGATGTATATATAATATTATATATTTGTTTTCAACGATCCCGGATGGACAAGCTTTCAGTGCTTCATCCATCGCCGAGCTGATCTGGATTTTGACTTCCAAGGCATTCATTGATCGACTGTGGGCCGGGGCCTCACCAATTCGCCAAAGGACGACATTCGATGCTCGATGATTTTCCATGAAACTATATGGCTATGGATCAATACCTATTATATAATACCATTTTTAGGGGGATGAACATCCATAAATCCCAGCTATTTTGATGTGAACTACAGGGGTACAAGGTTTTGACACACTGCCATATCAGCCTTCTATGTATTAATAGGATTTTCATGGATTTTCAATGCATCTCCAAGGAAAGGTGGAAAGACCAAATATCAAACATTGAGCCATATTGAGCCTGTTCATGAGGCTTTGGCCAGGAACGGAATTGTACCAGTACAAGATGCCCATCAGTGAAGGTGCACCTGCTGCCAGTGGATATGTTTGCTTGGCATTTGTTTTTTACAAGCAAGTTAGCATATTTTTTTGTAAACTGTCCTTGCGAGGCCGTACTACACATATATTTCTTTTTTTTGCTCCTGTCTCCCCCAATATCGCCGTGCAGTCACAGACCCCGCCACTAATCTGCAGTGTAGTTGTGGGGATCTATTGAATTCACCCTCTGAGCAGACCTGAGTCACTGTAACCATCTGTCTGCATTCCGTAACCACAATCTCAGTTTGAAAGTTCAAATCCAAACCATCCAGAAGATCCCATGGGCAGTCTCAGCAATTCTTGATGTCTCCAGTTGCACGCCAGGAAAGCATCCACCTTATGGCAACACATACAGAGAGGCCTGGTTCAGAGCGACTTGACCCGACTCAAATTTCTTCGTTTTTTTGTTCATTTTCTTGGCGTTTCTTGGCCCTGAGATCATCAAATGGTTCACGACCTACGACGAGTCGCAGATCACCAAAAGTGCCGGCTGCCGGTGATCCCATCGACACACCATCGACGACTGGGAGATTCCTCGCCGGCGCATCGTGCCGGATCGGAGCCTGAGAAGAGGTCGTCCTATCGGCTTCCGCATGATGTGATCTCCGAGAAGTGCGTGATCTGCGAGTTCTTCAAAAAGTGAGAAGTGATCGGACTTGAAGCAGTTTGAAGAATTGTTTGAAGAATTGCTTGTAGCTTTGATATCTTTCAGGCCCAAAAGCAAGCCGCATGTCCCAGAAGTCGAGCCATTCGAGCCTCAAGATAGGTGTTGAGATACGATGACTCCAGCATCACAATATCAAATGATTAAAATGCACCTCATCCAGTTCACCCCTGATCTGGGCCGTCTTGTGATATATTGTGGTATAATATAGTTGGTAAATATTTGTAATTCCTCACTAAAGGTCTGATATGACGAATCCATACAAACATGCACTTCTGGAAACCAACTTTCAGTTTGAAGGGATTCCTTTGTGTATCAAACAGTTTGCCCAAAGCCCATGGACGTGAACACCACAAGCGACGCATGCCCGGCAGCTATTTGTCGATGTGGTGTCTCGCATAGGCCTGAACAGCCGTGGGTAGTCTATGGTAGTCCATCATTCTGGAAGAATCAGGGTCTTTAAACAGACTTGAAGGACTTTCGTTTTGATTCAAGTTTCGCATTGAAATTTGGACACAGAACGTGTCACATACCCATACGGTAGATGCTTTCTTTTTTGTTTGCCTTGCTAGGTTCATTGATTCTGATGTCTGTTGCAAAGCAGAGACCCTAGTGGGATTGCATACTGGAGAATGGAGAGCGACAACACCCAAGCTCCAATGACTCCGATGCACCCAAGGTCATCCTTGGAAGGGATCGCAACCTTTGTCGTGTCGTCCGTTGCACAAGCTGATCCCGCTATGATGGATCTTGCTTCTAGACTGCATGATGCTCTCCAAAGACATCGGTGACCATGGTCGACATCAGGGTAGAATGCACGAGATCATCTTGGGATGAAGACCAATGAACTTTTTTTCAGCCATTTATATATATTATATAAACAAAATATATAAACAAATTATATAAACAAATTATATCATATCACCCTCTGGTAAACTAACAGTTTGCTATTGAAAATTGCCATTTATAGTGGATTTAGACATAAAAAAATGGTGATTTTCCATGGTTATGTTAGTTTACCGGAGGGTATATCTATACCCTATTTGGATCTATTTGAGGTGGATGAACATCCATAAATCCATGATTTTGGTGGAGCCGAGGCTGGTATGGAAGATATGAAGCCGATGGCCTTGGAAGAGATTGCTTCAGTTTTTCCAGTGGCAGGACCGGTGAGGCAGCAGTCTTAAGTGGATAATATATGATAATATTAATTGTATATATGTATATATACACACATATGAACATATTGTTTACTCATATCGAGTTGGTACTTAGTACTCATTATGTATTCATTATGTATGCGCTGCAAAGCTTCTGTATTTGATGAATGTCTAAATGGAACCAGGACCTTTTGCTGGCACCAGCGAGTCATCAGACCACTTCTTGAAAGAGTTCATGGAAGAAATACAGCCAGAAGCCAAGAATCTGGGACTGGAAGTGTCTCAGATGATGTGAAAGCTATGGTACCCTCTGGTAAACTAACATAACTATGGAAAATCACCATTTTCAATGGGAAAATCCACTATAAATGGCCATTTTCAATAGCTATGTCAGCCATTACCAGAGGGTAAGCTTCTTTCCTAAGGCCTGCCTTCAGAGGAAAGTTGATCTCGATTTTGGCCTCGCGCTTTCCAGATTCAGCACATCCCTGTGAGGAGGAGATTACCAGACCCCGGGTGGTTGATGATTACTGTAACCCGGGGTTTATTAACTTACCCAACCTACTGTAACCTACCCAATATGTTGGGGATTTTCATAATCCATGAGCTGGAAATCCCGAAAAAAACGGACTAGCTGTTGCAACTGGACCTGAGAAAGCAGTGCGTCGCAACACCCGTGACTGGGCCGTGTGGCTGCCAAGGTGTACTGTATCAAGGAATTCACAATGACTGAAACACCGAGAAAGCAAACATGATGGAACACGCAAGAAGCAATAAAGAGGAAAGGAATAGAAATAGAGAGAGAGAGAGAGCACAAAAACACAGAGAGACACCCAGAGACACGAATAGTCAAGAGCTAAATGCAAAGGCAGACACAGCCTGCAGAGGACGTGAGAAGGCATTGTAGCCACGAGAAGATTCGCAGTCCCTTGCACTGTTTGGGCATCGACCTTAATTTCACTCCAACCAGCGCCTACTTTGTTTCAAAAACTTGGATGTTGGGGGGACATCTCCGCTCCGCTTCAAAGTCGCCCTGAAGTCCAGGTTTGCATGCCCAGCACGTATCCCCGCGCTGCAGGGAAGAGATTCGGCATACAGTGTGAGATGCTCAAGCGCTACTTTTTCGGAGCATTTATCATCTAACTTTGGCAAGACAGAGCTTTAGTAAGCTTTCTATATGGGTTTGTCTGAGAATAGGGTACCTCTAGATCCTTTTGTTAATCATCATTATCCCTATATTCCCTATTCAAATTACTATTTTGGGGCTATACACCATCTTCAGACAAACCCAAATGCTTTCGATGATTTCTGTCGTTTGACAATTGTTTGGCATGGCACATGTCACCAGCATTCACCAGGCCCTTCGGCTGCAGCGAAGAAATCCACAGACACTGTGGCCACGGGCCCCCTGCAGGCCATATGACAAAACTAGCGAGTTCTTCAGCATCCAAAGCGGATCAAACCGGCAAAGGCCTCTTGCGCTGTTTGGAAGATGTGGGAGTTCACTTGGGTTTCCGCTGTGCGTTGGCCTCATTTGATCACTTTCTGTGCTGGAAAAGAAAGACTTACTTGAAACAAGGACGCCTTCTTTTTTCCATGCCTGTAGGATCCTGTAGGTGCTGAGCCTCATAGCGAGCGTGCTTTACAAATGAAGGTTGATAAGCCATGCAATTTTGCTGTGGAAGGTGAGAAGATCAAGTACTGTAGACCTGCAAAGCAAATAGATCAAATAGATCCGGGTGAATCAAGGCCGATGCGATCATCGCAGCTCGACAAGCCTTGGCGAGCATTGGGTGGTCTGACAAGCACGCACAGATCTTAGATGATCTTAGTGGGGTTGAGCGGGGTTTGTCTGCAAAGAGGGTAGCCCCAGATCTGATCCCATATTTTCCCATTAAGTTGAATTTTTATGGGTATCACCCATTTTCAAACACACCGTCTTTTGGCAAAACCCTTTACATAGGCTACTGATGTGCCGATATTTTCTTATTCTCTTTCTCTGATGACATTTAGGAAGGTGGCTCAAAACCAAACCAAAGGAACACGATGCGCACGACAGGAAACCAACTGGGAACAGCCAAACAATAAGAGAGGATAACATAGGCCATAGTATGTTGAAAGGGTCGGTGCCACAATTTTGCAAGGCCGTTTTTGAGCTGCTTGTAGAACCTGATCAGCTCAAACAACAACAAACGCTATTTGGACAAAGTGTACATGCCCGCAGCTAGCCATGCAGTGCTCCCCGAAACTAAAGCGATGCTGTGCAATTTCTGGAGGCAGCAGTCGAGCTCACGGCAATCCAATCTCCGTGATAGACTTTTCGCAGCAGACCGGTAACAATGCTTGCAATGCTTGGGAAAGGAAAGCTTATTTGCTGAGCCCAGCATTGTTAGCCACAAGTCGGTCACGACGAATATGGAGGACACAAAGGCTTGGCCTGGGAAAACCTGGCTCATCGCTGGTTCGGGCGCTGGCAATCTCAGTCGCGTTTTCCACGGCGATTTTGTTTGCTGGTACTAATCCCATAATAGTTCCAGACCCTGCGCAGCACCACTTTGGCCAACTTGAACTTCACTTGCAATCTCCATCTCTCCAACCTCTTGAACCTCTGCAACCTTTGCAACGTAGTGCACATGTTGAGCCCAAGCAGTGGAAGCCCAAAGAATGGGTTGCTCCAGTGTTGGACAAGATCGCTGTTGTGAAGGTAGACAGCGATACTGAAGATGAGTATTGGGTTTTCGACAAATTGCCATTTCTGGGCCAACTCTACGTCCTTCGAAAACAGACCACCGCCCTTGAGATTGTTCTCAGCGGTTTCGTAGCGGGCTTTCTGGTGGAGCTCACTAATGCCCTGCTGCTTCATCCAATAGATACCCTCAAAACAAGATTGCAGCGGGGTACTGGGCTTGCCGCTCCGGACCCATCATTGCTGTATCAACGTCTGTATGATGGCTTGATCCCGGTGTTAGCCACCGTTCCAGCCCTGTCAATCTTCTGGGCTGTCAAGGACATTGTCCGCAAGACTTTGATTGTAGCCATCCGGGCGAAACTTCCCTCGCCCGTTGCTGATGTCATATCTTCCACCTTTGCATCAGCCTGCGGGGAAGCTGCATACGTTGCAGTGAAGACACCTGGAGAGGTTCTGAAGATCAAGCAGCAGGCAGCTGTGTTAGATGAGGATGCACTCCGACAGCGCTATTCTTCCGAGGATAATTCATATTCAAGCCAAAGCTTTTGGTCCAACCCTGGTGCCCTGCTGGAGGACGCCAGTGACAGTGTTGAAAATCGAACGCTGTCAACTTGCTGTCATGTTGCTGTGGTGGTTGTTTCTGGGATGGATTTATCAGAATGTAAAAGATCTAAAAATGTAAGGCTTAAGATAGGTGTAGGCTGCAGGCCTTTATTCGTTTCAACTTGGAATCCTGCAATATTTCCATATATTTCCCATATTTCCATGTCCCAAAAGCCATCGGCCGCAGGAAAGTTTGCGAAGCTTTCCCATCCTTTGCAGCGTGGTTGTACCGCAGGTGGCCATCCGCACGGCGGTCTTTGTAGCTTTGCACGACTCCGCAGCATTTCCCAGTGGTGCTGGTTCTGAAGCTCAGAATGACCACATTTCAATGGATTGGTTTAAGGGAAAATCTACAGGAAACCATGGTTTTTCCCATTAAATATGGTGTTTTCCTGTAAAACTTCCCTTAAACCAATCCATTGAACATTGGAAGAACGGGGCCCAAAAAAAAAATCTCCCAGCGATTTTGGTGTGATTTTGGTGCCAGAGTTTTGACCCATCATAGATAATATGCATGGGGAAGTGGCTCATGCTATTTTATGTCCAAATTCGAAACATATTACATAATTTACATAGACATAGATGGATCTTTCATTACTAAACCTAACAAGACTTCCGACACTTGGGGCATGGGCATGTCAGGGCCATATGCCAAAGTTTACCTGCAAAGGTCTTTCTTATTGAAGAAAGAACGATAGAACAAGTCTTTCCAGGATGGTACGGATGATATTTACCTCATATTTCCAAGTTTCCAGCTTTTCGACATCGGCCGTTGCCACACCTGATCCAAGAATTCTTTCGGCAGGGAATCCACTGCTTGAGGACATCCTCGTCTTCACCGTTGCATCAGCAGTATCTTCAATTTTGCCACCTGGCTGGAATGGATGATGCCAACATGGACCAGCTTGCTGGGTCCGCTGCTACCTCATTTGTTGACCCAGAATGTGGTACATCCAATAATAAACATGCCAGTGATGTTTTTATCCTTTTTCCCCAAGCCAAACAGTGTACTGTTCGGGGTTTTTAATGCTTTCTTAAGGTGTCCGCCTTGGTGTTGCATGGTGTGTCCGCCTTTTCGAGAGTCTTGTCTCCCTTTGTCTCCACTTGTACCCCTTCTTGTTGCCCTTTGTTGGATGGTGTGTCCGCCTTCCCGAGATCTTGTCTCCCCTTGTCTCCCTTCTTGTTTCCTTTTGTTGGATGGTGCGTCCGCCTTCCCGAGGCCTTGCCTCCCTTGTCTCCCAGCTTGTCTCAGCTTGTCTCCCAGCTTGTCTTCCAGCTTGTCTCTCTTCTAGTTTCCCTTTGTGGCGGGTGGTCTGAGTTTGCTTTTTCCCCAAACAGTGTACTGCTAGGGGTTCTCAATGTTTTCTTAACATGTCCGCGTTGGTGTTGGATGGTGTGTCCACCTTCCCGAGGTCTTGTCTCCCCTCTTGTCTCCCAGCTTGTCTCTCTTCTTGTTTTCCTTTGTGGCGGGTGGTCTCATTTTGCATTTTTCTCCAAACAGTGTACTGTTAGGGGTTCTTAATGCATTCTCATGTGTTTGAGCCTGTTCCTCAAAACACTTCTTGAATCCACCCACTGTTTGGGGTCTATGGCGGTGTTTTTTTTTTTTACAATTCATTATATACTATTGGCTTTACCACATTCCATACATTTCCCATTTTTGATCGGCTTCTGCAAAGGGGGAACCTGCAATTGCAGGTGCACCCCACTGGACGTTGCTCGCACACAGCTGGTTCTTCGTCGACAAGGTGGGGCCGGGGTTTCCTGTAGAGTTTTCCTTGAACCAATCCATTGATAACTGGGTGAACAAGATTGAAATCCCAAGTACAACTGGCTTTACAGCTTGCCATGAGCAGTTTCCAAGTCCCCGAGTTGCCATTGACGTTGCCCGTTTTTCCCTAGGTGTGCGGCATTTAGGAAGCACTCTACAAACCATCGGAGAGCGTGAAGGCATTTCTGGACTAATGGCCGGTTGGCTGCCACGCCTCTTTTGGAACGGACTCATCGTGGGCTCGATCCTTGGCCTTTGCAGGCAAGCTCCGTTGTGTTGTTTAGTTACGACTTGAGTCACTTGCCAGTCCTCCTCATCTTGACCCCCCTGTTTCGGCACCTCTATTCCCGATTCCATTTGGTCCAGCACATGAAATACATATCGAAGATTATCGAAGTGCAGGCTGCAGTATGAAGATGCCCGTGCCTTCTTCTTGGTGGGTGTCTTGGACCGCTTTGAAGATATCATTCAACCTGTGTCAGAATCCATTTGGTAAACTCGCAGCCGACGCGTAGCCGAGCGGGGCAAGCCAAAGGATTACCTTTTCCAAGGCGGGACCAAGCTCCCAGCCGTTCCAAGATTTATAGTGGCAGTTCCTTCCCGAATGGGAGGTGAACACGTTTTGCACGTCCATCGGCCATCATTGCAGCACCGACCCTGAAACCCGCCATGGAGGAAAGACAACGGAAAGAATGGACAGGATACAAGTAGAACAGAACATAGTAGAACATGGTAGAACATAGTAGAACATAGTAGAACATAGTAGAACAATGTAGAACATATATAGTAGAACACAGTAGAACATAGTAGAACAATGAAAAACAAGGCGCCAGCATGATCTAGAGGACAAGAGAAAATTTGCATTAATTTGCTGCATGGCTGCAAAGACTTCCACTGGCTCCATGCGGAGATCAACATATCATGGCCTCAAGGAGGGCTGTGACTGGACAGGTTGAGACTCTGAATTTTTTGCCGCTCACAGGAGCGGATGGAGTGAATTGTACATCTACTCTTCTTACTTTTTGTATTTAAGATCCTTTCGGTCCTGACATTGCCTCACTGACCTCTGGCAAGCAGGCAATGTGGTTTTTACCTGTGGACCCAGCAAGATTCAAGTCAGCCGTGCTTGAAAAAGGCTAGGCCCAGCTGTGCAGCTTGGCTACAGCGGGAGGCAAACAAAGCGCTATGACAGCTCGACCCAACCAAGGCGCAAGATCATCATGGACAAGGCAGTCAACACAAACACCACGACCACCGTGACCACCATGACCACCATGACCACCAGAAAAACCACGACCACCACAACCATCACGACCACCAACCTGCTGATCACCACCACCCAGACAAACACCACTCTGACCACCAAGACCACCACAACCACAAGCACCACAGTGACCACCATGACCACAACCCAGACCACAAGCACCGGAGCGAACATCATGACCACAAGCATCCAGACCATCACCATGGTGAACACCAGGATCATGTTCAGCATCACGAACATGCTGGTAACACCCACATGGATCACAACAACCATCAAAGCACCCAGCACCAGCACCAGCATGACCCCCATCGACCTCAACAAAGCCACCATTCATCCAGCTCATCCAGTTCCTGTCCTCCTGGTTGGGAAGGACCCAAGGCCACTCTGCCGTTTTCACTTTCTCATTTTTAGTGCGACTTGATTTGATCGTATGTTGATGTATCATGATGTATCTTTATGTTTTTTTTATTTTTATTTTTATTTTAATATATGTATATATATATGTATGTTTTTTTGGTATTTGAAGTATTCTAATATTTGGTTCGTGATTTCAACATTGGTTTTGTTTTATCCTGAATGGGATGATCCAAATTGACCAATATTCTTGGGATCCCGTGATCATCTGTTGAAGTAGCATTTGAAGCATTTTCTTGACCACTTCAAGAGCTTTAGTGTAGAAGTGTCACGTGTGGATCAAGCTGGCTGTCGTTAAACAAGCTCAGCATCTAGTTTCTGATGTTTCTGCGGGTGTTCAGACTTTTGAATACCAGATTTCTCTCCAGAGATTTCATATTTTCTATACTTTTCGATCATTTTTTCTCCATTACGGGTGAAATCTGCATCTGCAGTCACAGGCTGGAGGCTGCTGCACCAGACGATGGTCTCCTCGATGTAACCTCTCCTGCAGTGGCTGGGATGATACATTTCATGGCGATTTTCAGGGGGAAATATTGAGGTTTCCATAAGTGGTGGTGCCCCAATAGCTGGATGTTTTTTTTCATGGAAAAACAATCTATAAATGGATGAGAACTTGGAGTAGCCATATTTTAGGAACCCCCCATATTGCCATTGGGAAACCATTAATTTAGTCTTGACCAATCAATTCTGATTTGGAAAAATGTTGATTTTCCAAAGCATGGAATGGGATACCTACTTTTTCTAAGCGGTTCTTTTGCTATGCTTGTGCGAACAAACATACCCAGCTAAAAAAATGACGGGCATCATTAGCCATTCTTTAGGGGCTACACCAAGCTGAAGTGACTCTCATACCCAGGTAGCTGGTAAAATTAGGGAACCCACAACTTGCCTTCAAACCACGGATTCTATTGGCGATGGTTGTGATGATTATTATCACATATTATCACCTTTTTGAATTCCCCATGCTTAGATGCCCAGGATACAGGATGGGTGGAAAAGGTGCAGTCTAAGCATGGGGGATCTTTTTTGATATCCCATGCCTATGACCGTTGTTTTGGAAGCATACTTTCTTGTGATTCTGATACTCCCAGGAATATCACCATTCTTCTTCTTCTTCTTCTTCCTCTTCTTCCTCTTCTTCTTCTTCTTCTTCGTTTATTTTTTTACTGAGAAATCGACTCGTAACTTCTCATTCTCCCAGGTGTTGAAGACTGCCGAGCTGCAAGTGGCTGGGAATTTAGGCCAGGCAGCCGTTGTGGCCGTTGTGGCTTTCCGAGCTCGCTGCCTGGGGCCAGGTGGGCAGACTTCAGGACTCATCCCTACATCTGCTGCCCCAAGGACGCGTCGAGATTTTGCTTTGCTTGGATTTGGCAGGAAAGTGGCTGGATTGTCTTGAAGTTGCTGGAGCACACACACACACAATATATATATATATAATATATATAATATATAATATATATATATATATCATATAATATATATATAATATAATATAATATAATATATATATATAATATAATATATATATATATAATATTATATATATACACACATTATCATAATCATAATATGGATATAGTATAGATATAAATGTGCACATACACACACACATATATATATATATATATATACACATATATATATATATACATATTAGAGCTAGAATAGCTTAGCTAGAACCATGACATGTCAACTTTGGACAGTGCTGGGCACTCGTAGCGACTTTTTTCAGGGGGACAACCGATCCGCAGGTGACTCGGCATCACTACTTGGGGGGCCAACCCATTTGCCCCAAAGGTGGCTGCCCCAGTGAGGTATGCCGCTCACACATTGAATTGGGTTTGTCAAACGGGATATTCCCCAACATCGCTATTTAAGAGAACAAATGATGACCCGGTGGATGTAGGGTTACTACATTTCCAGAGAAACCCATTTTCTATGCAAGCTTTGAGGTTGGCAAGTGGAAGAGCATGGTGCAGCACCAAGTTCTTGGCTGCCCGGAGAAGTAGCCTCAAATCCCATGGTTCATCACCATTTTCCAATGATTCCAATGAACATTGACATAAATATTTTAAATATCCTAAATTGAGGGGTATAACATGGTATCACCATTTTCAGACAACTCCATGTATGTATGTATGTATTTAGGTAGGTAGGTAGGTAGGGTATGGTATGGTATGGTATGGCATGGCATGGTATGGTATGGTATGGCATGGTATGGTATGGTATGGTACGGTAGGTAGGTATGGTATGTATGTAGGTATGTAGGTATGTAGGTATGTAGGTATGTAGGTATGTAGGTATGTAGGTATGTAGGTATGTAGGTATGTAGGTATGTAGGTACCTACCTACCTACCTACCTACCTACCTACCTACATACTACCTACCTACATACATACATACATACACACACATACATACATTAATACATTACATTACATTACATACATTACATACATTACATTACATACATTACATCCATTACATACATTACATACATTACATACATTACATACATTACATCCATCACATCCATTACATCCATTACATCCATTACATTACATCCATCACATCCATTACATCCATTACATCCATTACATCCATTACATCCATTACATCCATTGCATCCATTGCATCCATTACATCTATTACATCCATTAAATCCATTACATCCATCACATCCATCCATCCATCCATCCAGACAGACAGACAGACAGTTAGACAGACAGACAGACAGACAGACAGACAGACAGACAGACAGACAGACAGACATACATACATACATACATACATAGATACATAGAAATGTATACACTTTTCAGATCTTAATCTAAAACTTAGAGCCCAATTTGAAAGCAGCCAGGCCACGGACACTGTTGTCGAAAGTCTTGGACATGGGCCAGGGCCTTGGTGGCTACCTGATTCCATAGCTTCCATAGCCGCCATAGCCGTCGAATGATAGGGCTGTGGCGAGCACTGTGCATTTGAAGAATGCAAGCAGGGTCGCAGGCTCAATTTCAATTGATTGATTGTTGACTGGTCAATGAAAGGAGAGTGTTTCCTGATGTTTCTTGTAGCTTCTGAGATTTGGCATTGGAGTGGTATCCTGTGGACGACAAGACGGAGAACTACAAGCCTTCGTCTCAGGGATCTCTACAGGGCTAGCAGAGACACAATGGACTTTGCTGCAGGTGTTGTCCTGACATGCGCTTGATTCAAACACCTGAAGGGGCAAGGCCCTCAGTGCTCTACATCTGTGGCTCAGATGATACAATTGATGAACGGATATGAAGGGGCTGTGCGAAATATTGGGAAATTCAAATCTTTGGGGTCACTGAGGAGAAGACAGACCTACCGAATCTTGTAACTGTTGGATCTTCTTTGGTTTCCAGGCACTGCTAGCCAGCTAGGGTACACTTCCATGCTGTTCTGTCCCATTCAGCAGCTGGGGCGGACCCCCTGTAACCGGTGATTGCAGGCCGGTGGATTTGTCTGCCGTAACCTTCACGCAAGTTCTATGCGTAGCAGGCGATCACCTGATCAGAGTTGAAGCAGATGGCCACCCAGACAAACTCCTGGTTTATCCTGGCTACTCTGCAATGAAGTGCACCGATTTGCATGACTAAAAAGAAGGATAAAGCCTTGCACTCAGAGTTTTTACACAACTATTTCTGGTGTACGTGAAAGTCTTTAAGGAACGGTCAGAAATGTTTGGACAACTGCCACTAGCTGCAGGCGTGCTGCTTGGAGCTGCTCTCATGTGTAGGCACGCAAACATCACAGGTCACACTGCAATTGGCAGCTGTGATTTGAATCGTTTGAGTTGAGTAGGGTCATTCGGTGGTTTCCCCTTTGCAACGTTGTCAGTCCCATGGCACAGGTTTGCCCTCAATTGCTGGTGGACCTTTAGTCGACAACATTTGCACAAGGTCCGAACCTGCACACTCTGCAGTCAGCCGATTTTTTGCTTCTTGAAGTGCCAATGCCCAGGACCAGTGAAAATTGCTGATCTCCGCAAAATGTTGAACCAGCTTTGGAAAAAATGCATCCGTTGGACATCTTGCCCTTTAAGCTTCTCTTGATTTTGATGAGCGGTGTCATTTCTGAGCCAAAGGGAAAGAGTTTGATGTTACATGATGTTACAAACCATCTGACTTGATGGCCGCAGCATAATTTGCTCATGAAATGTTTTGTTGTTCAATTTTGCGGGAGTTGAGATTGGATTGTGCAGGCTTTGGCCTCAGTCGTTTCTTGTGCCTGCACCGATGACCTGTAGGGTTTGCCCAAAAACGGGGTATACCATGGTCTACCCCAAAACTACAAAAATTGGAGATTGAACATTTAAACCTCATTTTATTTCCTTTATCTCATGTTATGGCAATTTTGATAGGACAAATGATAGTAGAACAAGAAGCCATCGATTTTTTTGGGGGTGCACCCAAGATTGTTGGACCAAGCCCCATGCCGAACAAAGCGTGAGGCCTCCATGTGGTCGACACAGACCTACAATGATCAGCAACCGCTGACACAGCCAGCTGGTGGACCGTATGGGGGGGGTAGCCCCTATGACTCCAGGGTCCCGGCCTCACCGAAGTGACTCAAAGTGGGGCTCTCACTTTGAGGCCGAAGAATTTTTTTGATGGATGAATATGATCTAAACATATCCAACCAATTCTAGACAGCAATTTTTGTGGGGCCATGGATATCCCATTTTTGATCCATAGTCGTAGCCATTTCAGTCGTGATCTGAGGGCGGCGGCTATCCTCAGGGTGGCTATCCTCAGGGTGGCTATCCTCCTCAGCAGGGTCCTTATGGCAACCAAGGACCGGGAGGCTCGGGCTGGCATGGTAGATGAGTACAAAAACGCCAATCAACGGTATGTACTACAGTTCGGTTGTTGAGGTTTGCAAGACATACACACATTTTGACACACATATACATATATATATATATATAATTCTTAGATATATATAATTATGCATCTATATAATATAATATAATATATAATATAATATAATATAACATAATATAATATAATAAAATATCATATAATATAATGTAATGTAATATAATAAAATATACTATAATCTGGACAATTTAAAACGACGTCACCGACGTCACCCAGAAATAACGACCTAGCCTCAGAAATAACCCATCACCATACAAGTACATATAAAAATATGTATATATATATATATATATCCAGCCTTAGTATGGGCAGCTACGGCTGGAAAAATCGGTTTTAGGCGGCAAAGCCTGCACAAACAGAAAGATCCTAGTTTGTCAAAATAGGAAAATGAGGTTTTCAGCGCGTTCAGAAGCAAGGTTCCTATTTTTCCAGCTTTAGTATGGGCAGCTACCAGGCTGGAAAAATCGGTTTTAGGCGGCAAAGGCTGGACAAACAGAAAGATCCTAGTTGGACAATATAGTATGATATAATATAGAATGATGTAATATGAAATTATATGATATAGTATGATATAATATAATATGATATAATGTGATATAATATAATATGATATACTATAATATATGATATACAATATATAATATATACTATACAATATAGAATATATTATGTATAATATAGAATATACAATATATAATATATAATAGATAATATAAGATATATAATATGTAATATATAGTAATATAGTAACATAGTACATAATATAGTAATATACTAATATATTGTATAACATAAATTAAACATATTATATCATACAATATAATACAATCTAATATATAAAATAATATCATTGAATATATACTATAATTTAATATAATATAATTTGATATAATATAAGATATAATATAAGATATAATATAAGATATAATATAATATAATATATAATATAATATTTAATATTTGATATTTAATATTTGATATTTAATATTTAATATAATATATGATATTATATATAATACATAATGTAATGTAATAGATACTATATAACATCATATATACTATATAACATAATATAACTATATATATACTATATAGCATAATATAATATGATATTTAATATAATATATACTATATAACATAATATAGATTTTATTTTATAATATAATATAATATATAATATAATATATAGTATAATATAAAATATAAGATAAAATCTAATATTTAATATATAATATAATATATAATATAATATATAATATAATAAATAATATAAAAAAATAATATGTAATATCAAATAAATGTAATAACATATATAGATATTATAATTTATAAAATTATATATAATAAATATATATTATAAGAAATCATATAATATATAATATATAATATATAATATAATAATATATAATATATAATATTTAATATATAATATATAATATATAATATATAATATATATATTATATTTAATATATAATATATATTAGATAATTTATAATATATGATATATGAGATATAACATATATTATATGATATATAATATATGATATATAATATATAACATTTAATATATAATATATAATATAGTATATAGTATTTAATATATAATATATAATATACTATATAGTATATGTATTTAATATTTAATATATAATATAATATAATATTATATATAATAAATATATATTATAATAAGTAATACAATATATGATATATATAATATATAATATATAATATGTAATATTTAATATATAAAATTATAATATTTAATATAATATAGAATATATTTTAATAAAATATAATATAATATAAAGTATTAAAACATATAAGATATAATATAATATAATGTAATATGATGTAAAATAATAATTTAATTTTATATATTATAGTATAATATATTATAGTATAATATATTATATTATATTGTATTGTATTGTATTGTGTTATATCATATATTATTATATACATACTGATAGTATACATCTAAGCATACCCAAAGAATCCCCGCAGATTTGAAACAAGAAATGCTGCAAGACGATCTACCAGAGGGTTTTGTTCTGATGCCAGGTCCAGGTGGCAATCAGCAGAGCGAGAGAGCGTCCAAGAGCGTCCTCAATCCCGACTGGAGCGCTGAGTTTCCAGAGCTTTTCCAGTTTTTCCATGAAGCTTTTGCAGTGCAACAAGTGAAATACATCAACTAGTCTGATATTATCATATACAATTGTTGGAGGTCTGATTCTTATGATCTTTAAATGTTCTGAAGGTGTGCCGTGTCTATATTATTCTCCTTCTTCCTGTTGTCGTCGTCCTTGTCGGCTCAACGTTATTGTATGTGCTCAGGAGCATTTATTTCTTCGTGGCGTCCTGCTCCACGATGTCACAACACTCAGAATCATTTCGTAAACAATTCTTGAGGTTCCAGTTGACAGAATCATTTGACATATTCAACAATTTTAGAGGTTCCAGTTCACCAACTCTGATTTTTTGATGTTCCAAAATCATCTGGCAATTGCTGCATTTCTAGATGTTCGTTGTGACCTGGCTTTGCTTTGGCAAAGGCTTGGAGCTTTTATCGGCGGCCTGTGCCTTTTCTTTTCTTTTGAGTTTGGCCCTGAAAGTTTGCCCAAGGTCTCATGCCAGGTGATTTTTTCTTACTGTGAAGTTATTTCCAGCGGATACAGATGATGTGGACAAATTGATACACCCGGGGGTCAGCTTTCCATAGGTTTCCGATCCTGAGATATCCTGAGTAGTTCTGAGTTGGACGAATCGCGCCATGCTGAGGTTGGTTGACTTCCTGGAAATGTGCTACATACTAGTTTTTGGCGGTGCCTTGACAGCCATGGGATTCTGAAGTAGAAGCACAGCCGTTGATGATCTTAGAGAGCTGGGTTGTGCCATGGATGGCACTCAGGTGTTCTTGCTTTGATGGACACCCCGTGCTTCAAAACTGTGAAGACTGTACTTCTGACGCATTGTGACAGCTTGCAGCATTCTGTCACATGCGCTGTGCCACCTTGATGCTTGATGATTCTGTGAGTCAAAGCCAACATGCCAGGTGAAAGATCACCGGGAATACTTCTCGAAGTATGTGAACATCCTAACTCGTGTTACAGGCGACCCGAGACATTGATAGACATTGTCCATCTGGATCTATTTGGACCCAAAGCTGTGGCAAGGGGTGGACCTGGAGGCAAAGGAATTGCCTTTCTCTTCCTCGGCTGTGCACTCTTCTCCACGATGTGGGACAACCTGGTGCGCCCTCCAAGGTTGTTATCAGAGTTATCAGTTGTCCCAATTGTCAGCATTCCCAGAATCCACTTGTAGAATCTTGTAGACGGTTGATTATGTTGATTGGCAGGAGAGCTCTGGCCTGAAATTCTTGGCCTTTGTGCTCAGCATGATTCCCATCATCGTTGGCGTCAGGGGCGCCGAGCTGGTAGTTTTAGTGAACTGGGAAGTCATGACGGATTGACCACGGATTCAAAGGGGATATGATCCGTGCAGAACCATGGATTGAACTTCCCAACCAAACCAGTACGGGACTTTCCGCCCCAGTTTTTTTGTTTGTTTAGACTCACCCGAGCTTTGATATGACCGACCCAATATGATCCAATGTTGCCAATCCATGGAAATGACCGAGATTGCTGCGCTGGTGATCGGCTTCATCAAAAGTCAGAAGCTGAATAAAGTCCGGCAGGTCTTTGCCCAGGCGGCTGTGCGCCATGGGTTTTTGTCAATGGGGCTTCCATCTCATGGTGGAAAATCATGATATGTTCACCAGATTTCCCCACGAACAATTGCCGTAAGATGATCCGGGGCCCATGGGGGGGATATTTCCTCCAGTATCGGACAAGTCTGGATGTGCCGCATTGTGCCGCTTTGATCTGAATGGAAGAACCTATTCTTGCTGAGAGATGGCAGGAGGGTGAGAACCACATGGCTTCAGTTTACGATCAGCACGCCAGAACTTATGGAGGACCACATGTGGCGGACTTGGTTTTGCCATTTTGCGCCTGGATTTTGGAATGTACACCAATACCTTGGAGCTGAGAATCCGCATTGAGGGTGGATTGACCATGTTGGAATTCAGCGAGCTGACGTACAAGACAATCCAGGTCAAATGGGAAGGCTGGGCTTGAAGAATCTTGAAGACCATGTTAGTTGATGTGTGTGTTTTTTCGTTGGACGTTTGTCGCATCTTCACAGTCCCTTCTTTTCCTACGACTTCGTTGCGTGAATGGCATCTTTATGGTTAGATACTGACCTTAAGCTGATCTTCAACGCGCTGGTAAGCAATCCTGCGTGGCGTACCAACGTGACGAATTTCAGCAGCCCGGACCTCAAGTGCGGTCACACACTGGTGACACGATTAGTGAAGTAAATTACTCAGTTCCTTTAATTTCCTTCCAGCAGGTTATGGAGCCCAACAGGTGGAGATGGCCAAAATCCCGAAGGAGGAGAGGATGGAGTGATCGAAAAGGGGAGTTACACATAGTTACACCAACTGGAGATGCCATATTTGAGGATTGTTCTGTTCTTGAGTTCCGGTTCAGGACTTGGTTGCCTGGGTTTCCGGAGGGATCGTGACGAACTCGGTCCGTGACAAACCACTACCACTGGATCTCTTCTCAGTGCATTTGCATGTTTGCTAGATAGCTGCTAGATGGTTTGATTCTCCGAGGTCTGGCTTTGAGCGGTCTCACCACCTTTAAGGGCCTCTGATACCATAAGCTTGGTCCACAAAAATGTAGTAATAAAATAAGATGACTATAGATGACTATAGATGACTTATATAAATCATTATAAAATATTATAAATCTATACACTATAATTACTTATTCTAAGATGCAATAAGATGTATTCAGTTTCAATGCCTCAGGAATCCTCAGGAACAGCGACCAGACCCATGCAGCAATTCAGCGAAATCTGGCGACAGCGAAGACTGAAGTCATAGGGTGGTGCGTTTCCATTTCAGTATGACTGATATGACTGGCGTTCGCTGGAACATGATGGGCTCTGATGGACTCTGATGGACCCCCTGTGCCAGACAGTCTTCGAATAATTCGAATCAGCTTCGAATCAGCTGGCTTCATGCTCCTTCTGAACAGTTCTTACGACTGGCAACAGAAACTATTCAGGCTTCAGGAATAGTAGTATACTAGTAACTAGTAATGGTTCGACTCATAGCACGCTGATTTGAGCCAAGAAGAGACCCAAAGCGGAGAGTGAAAAGAAAGTGTGAATGTAAACTGTAAACGCAGCACGTTTTCAATATTGCTTGAGATGGAAGATGTTGAGGACGTTGTCACAATCTCACTGATTGCTGCCGACTCTGAAGCTGACCCTCTCCACAGTAGAGAGGAAACATGATGACAAAACAATGGATTGCATACTCAACAAGTGCAATGAGAATTCTTTCGTAGCCACACTTGGTGCAGACAGGGAGCAACAGAAGACAGCAAACATATGAAACGCAGAGAAAAAGCACATCCTCGTCAATCCAGCTGATTACAATTACCATCAATTACCGTGGACCAAGTCCATCCAAGTCCATCCAAGTCCATCCAAGTCCATCCAAATCCCAAGTTTTGAGCGCCATGATTTGGCTTCACCATGGTGTTGGCGCCTCAACTCCACTCCCCAAGAAGTTAGATCGCGATCGCGATTGCGTTGCACGCAGACTTGCACGCAGACGCCCTACCCGACGCTGCAGGTTGGAGCTATCTAGCGCTCTCCCCACAAAGCATGGGCATCATTTTAGCCAAGCGGGAAGAGGCACGGCAGACTCGGCAGACTCGGCAGACAGCAACTTCGTTAAATCCGTTTGATTCCGTTGGGATGTCATAGTCATGTCATAGTCTTGGTGTGAACAACATCGATTTTTCGTTCAACACACGGCTTGTTTTTTTGTGTCGTCACAGCTCCCAGGAGCGAATCGCTTTTAACCAAACCCGGGCGCGTTTCTGACTGAGTGTGGGGATTGGACTCAGTGAGAACCCTTCTCTTCTCTGCAGCTTGGCTTAAGTGTTGTGAGCAAAACTCAGCGTCACACGATGTCTGAGGAGCAGCTGCCTATCTGGAAAAGTGCCGGCCTGACTACATCGAGGACAGTTTATAAACGTATATAATTATTATAATTATTTTATATTGAGTACTTCACAGTCTCAACTTGTCGCAACTCCTACAGGGCGAAGTCTCTGACAGTAATTTTGTAGGATGATGTGCTGTTGGGGCTGGCGCCAGATGAGGAGGACCTGCTCAGACCTGCTCTGGACATTCGGCATTTCGGGACCAGCTGGCGTTAAGCCCAGGATGATGAAGACAAACTCGAAGATGATGAAGACGCCGAAAAGGAAAAGGCCATAGCCATCCATAACCATTCATAGCCATCCATAGCATAGCACTGTGTGGATCACTGCTGTGTTTGGCAACATTAGTGACATCAGTGACATACATCCTCATCAAAAGGAAGAGCCAGACGATGAAGATGAGGACGAAGATGAGGATGATGAAAAAGAGGAGGAGAGAGCCGAGAGCCAATGACACAATCAGAATGAGCAAGGCAGCATTTTGACGTCACAGGACGAGAAAAAGCTCATGGCAGAGGCAAGCTCAAGGCTGGGAATTGCACGAACATGCAGTTGGACATGGCGAACATGCAGTTGGACATGGGGCCGTGTTCACTCTGGCATTCATGTGTCGTTTTGCGTCCGTTCCATTTTGTATCTCATTTTTACAACTAACTCTGGACAGGGCCAAGGAGCGAGTGCAAGCAGAGTTGAAGAAGTTTCGACAAGCAGCCATCAGAGGTGGGTCCAATGGGTCCATATCGATCGCGCTTGTAGTTCCCACCTTATGCCATCCTGGGCCATCCTGCCTAGACATGGTTCAATGATGTTGCAGGAAATCGATGGCAGCTGGTCAAGATGACGCGCTCGCCGTCCGGGACCTACTTCGACCTACTTCTACTTGTGCCCATTCGTTTTGAGTGATCTCAGTCGACCAAGAGTATGATGGGGGCCGTTTAGGGTTTCAGGGGGCAGATGAGACCTTATATATGAAATACTTATGAAATCTTATGAACCTCACTTGAATTTGTGATAATTTGTGGGGCTTTGTATGATTTCTTCGGGTTGGTTGGGGTTGCTGGGGTCATCATCATCAGTGCCTTGTTCAGAGCCGCGCAGGCACTTGGCCATTGACTCTCCAGATCAGCATGGTCGAACAGCTCTCCATCTAGCTGCGGAACATGGACAGCACCGAGCTGTCACCACCTCGGCCAAGATTCATCAAGATCCATTAAGATCCCCCAATGGCCAAGATGTGCCATGATCTGCCATGAGCAGTTGAGGTGGAGATCCTTCTAGGTGCTCGATCTCGGCATGACCTGTCCTTAAAAAAGAGAAGCGGAAGTTTTTCAGCAACCTTTGAAAAGATCGATTCAGATGCTATCAGCAAAAGTAGAAGTTTCATCCTTGGAAGCACGTAAAAGGATATTGTACACGTTTCCAAAGCTTTCCAAAGTCTTAGAAGCAGCCTTCATGTTTGCCTACTGAGGACATCAAAACAAAGATGGGATGGACGCCTTTGCACATAGCTGCCTTCCACGGGCAGGTTCCACTGCATGTGCTTCTTTCTTCCTGGTTGGACAACGTTGGACAACGTGGGAACCTCGCATAATCTCGCTGTGGAAGGTGGCTTGCATCAACCTCATGCTCCAGTCCACTGCAGATGTGAATGCCAAGGCCAGGGACTTGAGATGACTGGAGTTTAGCAGAACTGCAGATCGAGCCATATATATATATTTTATTATATTTGTATCCATTGGGACACTGTCGCTTGACTCACTCATGTCTTGGAGGAAAAGCATGGTTGCACCCCGCTCATGTTTGCGGCTTCGTCGCCAAAGTTGTACTTGGTGGATCTGGTCTCTAGAAAAGACCGAGCTAGAAGATTGAAAGCACGTTCGGCCCCTCAGAAAGGGACGCAAAACTGGGAGAAGCATCATTTTTGTCCAGCGACAAAATCTTCCAACCTTGAAAATCAAAAGAGAATCACTACATAACTTACTGTAACTATATATTTACTAAATGAATGTTTGAATTCAATTGAGTTTAGCCAACCGTCAATGATTCAAATCGTCATCACCAATGGTGGGGATTTTTTTTCGAGGTCAAGATGCACTGAAAGCCCTGCGGGAGCAAGAAGAAGATCGTTTAGACGCAGACCTGGCAGGTGTGGTGTGCTAGATGGTGCTATGAAAATGATGCAATCTATACTCTGGATGGATATTATTTAAGCGCTTACGCGCGACAGCCGGCCAGGGGCCCATGTTGAGGTGATAGGGGTGAACGGCTTGGGGCTATATGGGCCCATCTTGGGGCTATGTTGGCCTATCTTGGCCCATCTTGAGGCTATGTTGGCCTATCTTGAGGGCAATTTGGGCCCATCTTAGGGCTATGTTGGCCCATCTTGACCCATCTTAGGGCTAGGTTGGCCCATCTTGGGGCTATGTTGGCCCATCTTGCGGCCTATGTTGGCCCACGTTGACCCACAAGATCCGAAAAATGGGAACAGCAAAAAACACCGTAAAACGCGGGAGTTTTTGAGGTCGGCGGCAGGCGCGGCGGCCCCTCTCTACTTCGGAGAGGAGAGAAGGCCTACGGCAATGCCACGGCCAGCTCCGGGCCCCTTGGAGCTCTGTTGGCCCAGCTTGGGGCTATGTTGGCCTACCTGGAGGGCTCGGTTGGAATGGTGGACCTGCTTGGGGCTATGTGGGCCCATCTTGTGGCTATGTTGGCCTATGTGGCCCATCTTGGGGGTTATGTTGCCCCATCTTGAAGCTATGTTGGTCCATCTTGACACCTATGTTGGCCCATGTTGACCCATCTTGAGCCATAAGCTCCGAAAAATGGGAAAAAATAGGAACAGCAAAAAACACTGTAAAACGCGGGACTTTTTAGGTGCTTTTGGTGGTCGGCGGTCTGTCAGCGGCAGGGGCGGCGGCCCCTCTCTCCTTCGGAGAGGAGAGAGCTGCCGTACGGCAATGCCACGGCCAGCTCCGGGCCCCTGCAGGGCCCCTGGCCGGATCAAGCTGTAATATATAAGTGGGGCTGGCACCGACCCGTGGGACCAGTTGGCTCAAACAGTGTCCTGGTGGCGGTGGGTGAGACACGGAGGCGCGGGGGTGGCAGCAGAGCTAAAACACAATGGCAGTGAAGGACGGATCGGGCACTGCTGGCTGCCACCTCGCTTGCTTTCGTCTGGCACAGCTCGGGTCCAAGGGCGGTGCCGCAGAGCTAAAACACAATGGCAGTGAAGGACGGATTGGGCCAGCGGCCCGTAGCCCAGAGTGCCAAACGTCACTTTCTGAACCGACAAGAAACGAGCTTCAAACCTTCAATCCTAATCTACCTCCAAACCTTCAATTTGCTCGCCTTCCTGCACTGCTGGCTGCCACCTCGCTTGCTTTCGTCTGGCACAGCTCGGGTCCAAGGGCGGTGCCGCAGAGCTGAAACACAATGGCAGTGAAGGACGGATTGGGCCCGCGGCCCGTAGCCCAGAGTGCAAACGTCACTTTCTGAACCGACTAGAAACTAGCTTCAAACCTTCAATCCAAATCTAACTCCAAGCCTTCAATTTGCTCGCCTTCCTGCACTGCTGGCTGCCACCGCGCTTGCTTTCGTCCGGCACAGCTCGGGTCCAAGGGCGGTGCCGCAGAGCTAAAACACCATGGCAGTGAAGGACGGATCGGGCCCGTGGCCCCGAGTTCAGAGTGCCAAACGTCACTTCTGAACCGATTAGCAACCAGCTTCGAACCTTCAATCGAAACAAGCTTCAAACCTTCAAGTTGCTCGCCTTCCTGCACTGCTGCTGGCTGCCACCTCGCTTGCTTTCGTCTGGCAAAGCTCGGGTCCAAGGGCGGTGCCGCAGAGCTAAAACACCATGGCAGTGAAGGACGGATCGGGCCCGCGGCCCGTAGCTCGAGTGCCAAACGTCAGTTTCTGAACCGACTAGAAACTAGCTTCAAACCTTCAATGTGCTCGCCTTCCTGCACTGCTGGCTGCCACCTCGCTTGCTTTCGTCCGGCACAGCTCGGGTCCAAGGGCGGTGCCGCAGAGCTAAAACACCATGGCAGTGAAGGACGGATCGGGCCCGCGGCCCGTAGCTCGAGTGCCAAACGTCAGTTTCTGAACCGACTAGAAACTAGCTTCAAACCTTCAATGTGCTCGCCTTCCTGCACTGCTGGCTGCCACCTCGCTTGCTTTCGTCCGGCACAGCTCCGTCCAAGGGCGGTGCCGCAGAGCTAAAAGACCATGGCGGTGAAGGACGGATCGGGCCCACGGCCCGTAGCCCAGAGTGCCAAACGTCACTTTCTGAGCCGACTAGAAACTAGCTTCAAACCTTCAATGTGCTGGCTGCCACCTCGCTTGCTTTCGTCCGGCACAGCTCGGGTCCAAGGGCGGTGCCGCAGAGTTAAAACACCACGGCAGTGAAGGACGGACAAAAGTTGCTGCTCTCACGCGCTCCCCCGAATCGGGGTCGGCGGATATATAATTTACATCATTTTGCATATATATATATATATATACATATATATATATATTTAAATTCTGAGCTGGTATGAACTGGTATGGACTGGTGGATGTCTTGCTTCCCGCACTTTGGCACCGCAGCTGGTATTGGCAAAGAAATGGGCGCTGGAAGTGTTTCTACCACTGCGCCCAATGTGGCAGGAAACTCAGGGTCAGGCTTTGAGGTGATTTCTCTGGGGCGAATTTTGGGTAAGCCCAGACGATTGGGACGATTTGGATGCTGGTGGATCAGTCAAATATATAGCCATTCTTATTTGGAATATGTGATCATGGCGGGATGTACCAGACCACATCCTATTACCCTCTGGTAATGGCAACCAGAGTGAATTTTCCCATTAAAAATTGTGATTTTCCATAGTTATGTGGCTGTTTACCAGAGCGTAATGCATATATAATGCATATATATCCCATGTTATGTGACGATGGCACATATGACCAGCTTCGACCTAGTTGAAGCTCTTCAAGTGGACACAAGTTGACACAATTTGCCTCACAAGGTCTGGAAGTTCTATCCCAACCGCATTGAAATCCTTGTTCTGAACGCGTTGATCTCGTCGCCAAAGATTAAGGTTGGGTGGTTTGAACTGACCAGTCAGATTGAACATGTTTAATGGATTTTAATGGTTGAGTTTTTTTTCGTTCAGATTTCCAGATTGCAGTGTTGTGCAAAGCTGGATTTGTGTTGAACAACAAGGTGGATGCTTTTGACAACCGCCGTCGTACGGCCCTGCTATATGCTGCGCGCTATGGGCGCACGTTTGCAGTGAGCCGACTGCTAGATGCTCGCGCGAACATTGGGTTTGCTGACAGAGCGCAAGGCTTAGTTTTCTTGGTGCAGTAGATGCAGTTTGCCAATGTTTGACCTGAGTTTGAAAGTCTTTTGTACCCGCACCCCCCCCTTGTCAATTCATTGGAGCCAAACACGCTGTGTCTCGAACTGAGGAAGGTCAGGTTCCACTCTTCGCTGCAGCCTGCAACGAACACTTGGATACAGTTGACCTTCTCCTCCGAGCTGGAGCGAACATCAATGCGACTGATCAGTGGGACCCATCCAAGTCGCAAGTTGTTACAAAGTAGCCGAGATACATTTAGTAGACTCGTATAATCTTGTATGAATGAATTCAACAGCTATGACTGGAGAAATTTCAGCTGGATAGTTGAGTACTTTAGTATACTTTAGCTAAACTTTAGCACGCTTTCGCTGTAAAGTTTCAAAACACAGAACAAAAGAAGGGAAGAGAAGAGAAATACTGCTCGTTCCGTGCGTTCCAACTTGCTCCGTGCGTTCCCGGGGGAGGTGTGGCCCCGGTGTGGCTTGGCGACCAGGTACTTTCGAACACCACTGCATGGATCTTTGGAGATGGGCGATGAAAGCATGTCCAACCTCTTGCTGAAAGCGGGGGCCAGCGGGGATGCCCAAAGATTGCCATGGGTCAAGGCCATGGTACACGCGGGAGAGATGATGTTCAGCACTGTTCAGCCCCGCAGTATCTGCGAATGTAGGAATTGCTCATGAACTTATTTGAGTATTCTGGACGAAAACATCTTGTGTAGCTTCATTGCAGAAATCATCATCATTCTATGCTACTTGTATCTATCTTGCAATGGGCTGGGCTTCCACAGCATGAATGTAGAAACTCACATCCTTCCAGCTGTCGAGTCGTGTATGCTAAGGCGTGAATGCGTACGATTGCGAAGGAAGAACTCCCATCATGTTGGCAATGGATCGCGGAAACAGGCGTTTGTTCCAAAAGATCGTGGGTGGCTCAACTGTCGCCAGCAAAGACTTGTGAAAAATACACTAAATACACCGCAACATATCGTAACTCCCCGCAATTGATGAGAAGATGATTCAGCTCAGGTCGAAAAGAAATCCAATTTGGATGTGCTGGACAAGAGAGGTTGGAACGTTGTGATCTACGCAATCGAGACCCAAATGTTAACAGACGTTAGAGCCTCAGACCCCAGTGCAGCCACCGCATCGGAATTCCTCGGAATTCCTCGGAATTCCTCGGTGCTGAGGTCTATCCACTGCTGATGAAGCTGAGCAAGAACGCAGCGATCATTCTACGAGCTCGCGATCCTCAGGATCCAACCCTCGGTTTGTCCTGTGGGCTTTACTAGACCGGAAAATGGCTGAAGATGATGACAACATCATGATAAAGATTGATAACACATGTTTTTTTGTACGTCATTTTTAAACACACCCATATTGGCACCTTTTTTGTGATGCCTCTGCGGCCAATCAGGGTCTCAATGCTTTACATCATGCGTCGCAGCTGGCCAATGCGGAGCTTTCCACCAAATGTGTGATGCAGCTCACGAATCTGGACTTTGAGGCAGCATGAAGCCAATGAAGCTGCGGGATGGAGAGCATTTCAACCATGACTCAACCATTCTATCCATTTGTTCACCATTCTATCCATTCTATCCATTCTATCATATTCTATCATATTCTATACATTCAATGATTCCAAATCCTGTAGGCCGCAACCATGGGAGACTGCAATGGAGACACGGCAATTCATTCAGCAGCAGAGCGGGGCCGTCTTGAGGTGGGATTGAAAAATCTGGATTTCGCTGCAGTCACCAACTTTTAGGACCCACCAAATGGCTGAAGCCATACCAAACATATTCAATTTACTGGGGTAAACCCAATAATCATCCCCAAAATCACCAGTTTTATGGTTTTATGGGTGTTTTTTTTTCCCCAGATAGCTGGCAAGCTATAGGGGTTCTTACTTCTCTAAGGTGGGGTCTCCGGTGGCGAACTTTTGAGCCAGGGTGCTGTGCAGGGTGCTGTGCAGGGTGCTGTCCAGACTGCGGTGGCGAAGTCTGGCAAAGGTGCTGTGCAGGGTGCTGTGCAGGGTGCTGTGCAGGGTGTTGTCCAGACTGCGGTGGCGAAGTCTGGCAAAGGTGCTGTGCAGGGTGCTGTGCAGGGTGTTGTCCAGACTGCGGTGGCGAAGTCTGGCAAAGGTGCTGTGCAGGGTGCTGAGCAGGGTGCTGTCCAGACTGCGGTGGCGAAGTCTGGCAAAGGTGCTGTGCAGGGTGCTGTGCAGGGTGCTGTGCAGGGTGCCGTGGCGAAGTCTGGCAAAGGTGCTGTGCAGGGTGCTGTGCAGGGTGCTGTGCAGGGTGCTGTGCAGGATGCTGTCCAGACTGCGGTGGCGAAGTCTGGCACAGGTGCTGTGCAGGGTGCTGTGCAGGGTGTTGTCCAGACTGCGGTGGCGAAGTCTGGCAAAGGTGCTGTGCAGGGTGCTGTGCAGGGTGCTCTGCAGGGTGTTGTCCAGAGTGCGGTGACTTCGCTGGCAAAGGTGCTGTGCAGGGTGCTGTGCAGGGTGCTCTGCAGGGTGCTGTCCAGACTGCGGTGGCGAAGTCTGGCAAAGGTGCTGTGCACAATCCTGCGCAGGGTGCTGTGCAGGACTGCGGTGGCGAAGTATGGCAAAGGTGCTGTGCAGGGTGCTCTGCAGGGTGTTGTCCAGAGTGCGGTGGCGAAGTCTGGCAAAGGTGCTGTGCAGGGTGCTGTGCAGGGTGCTGTGCAGGGTGCTGTGCAGGGTGCTGTGCAGGGCTCCAGACTGCGGTGGCGAAGTCTGGCAAAGGTGCTGTGCAGGGTGCTGTGCAGGGTGTTGTCCAGACTGCGGTGGCAAAGTCTGGCAAAGGTGCTGTGCAGGGTGCTGTGCAGGGTGCTCTGCAGGGTGTTGTCCAGAGTGCGGTGGCGAAGTCTGGCAAAGGTGCTGTGCAGGGTGCTGTGCAAGGTGCTGTCCAGACTGCGGTGGCGAAGTCTGGCAAAGGTGCTGTGCAGGGTGCTGTGCAGGGGGGCTGTGCAGGGTGCTGTGCAGGGTGCTGTGCAGGGTGCTGTCCAGACTGCAGTGGCGAGTGCTCTTCAGACTGCAGTGGCGAAGTCTGGCAAAGGTGCTGTGCAGGGTGCTGTGCAGGGTGCTGTCCAGACTGCGGTGGCGAAGTCTGGCAAAATTGCTGTGCAGGGTGGTGTCCAGACTGCAGTGGCGAAGTCTGGCAAAGGTGCTGTGCAGGGTGCTGTGCAGGGTACTGTGCAGGGTGCTGTGCAGGGTGCTGCGCAGGGTGCTGTGCAATTTGCTACGCAGGTTTTGTCTAGACTGCGGTGGCGAAGTCTGGCAAAGGTGCTGTGCAGGGTGCTGTGCAGGGTACTGTGCAGGGTGCTGTGCAGGGTGCTGTGCAGGGTGCTGTGCGGGGTGCTGTGGAGGGTGCTGTGCAGGGTGCTGTGCACGCTGCTATCCAGACTGCGGTGGCGAAGTCTCGCAAAGGTGCTATGCAGGATGTTGTGAAGGGTGCTGTGAAAGGTGCTGTGCAGGGTGCTGTGCAGCGTGCTGTGCTTTGGTTCCCACGTTGGGAACCATCAGTTCCAAGCTTTAGGAACTGGAAGTTCTTTGCAATGGTAACCTATGGTTCCCAGGTTGGGAAGCATGAGTTCCAACCTCTGGGAACCGGCAGTTGCTTGCAATGGTAACCTCTGGTTCCCAGGTTGGGAACCAGGAGTTCCAACCTGTGGGAACCGGCAGTTCCTTGCAATGGTAACCTGTGGTTCCCACATTGGCAAGCGTGAGTTCCAACCTTTGGGATCCGGCAGTTCCTTGCCATGAACCAAACGCAAACATTCTGGTACCGGTCCATTAAGCAAAACAAAGCGTTCTTTACCGGTCCATTAAGCAAAACCATAAAGTTGTAAAGAAAATGTTTTCATATCATTTTGACATGCACCTTTTTCGTGCAAAGACATTTATGCCGGCCCGGCAGCCGAACGCAAACATTCCACTACCGGTCCATTAAGCAAAACAAAAGGCCCTGTTACCGGCTCAGTAAACAAAACAAAACAACATTAAGAACCATGAGTTCGAACTTTTTGGAATCAACAGATCCTTCCACTGGTAACGTATGCTTTTTCAGGCTTGGAACCATGAGTTTCAAGCTTTCGCAACCGGCAATTCCTTACAATGATAGTTGCTTAGCTTCGAAAACATAAATTCTAACTTCTGGGAACCGGCAATTCCTTGCAATGGTAACCTCTGGTTCCCAGGTTGGGAACCGTAAGTTTCAAGGTCTGGGAACCGGCAGTTCCTTGCCATGGTAACCTTTGGTTCCCACGTTAGGAACCATCAGTTCCAACCTTTAGGAATTGGAAGTTCTTTGCAATGGTAACCTATGGTTCCCAGGTTGGGAAGCATGAGTTCCAACCTCTGGTAACCGGCAGTTGCTTGCAATGGTAACCCATGGTTCCCAGGTTGGGAACCAGGAGTTCCACCCTCTGGGAACCGGCAGTTCCTTGCAATGGTAACCTGTGGTTCCCACGTTGGCAACCGTGAGTTCCAACCTTTGGGAACCGGCAGTTCCTTGCCATGAACCAAACGCAAACATTCCAGTACCGGTCCATTAAGCAAAACAAAGCCTTCTGTGCCGGTCCATTAAGCAAAACCATAAAGTTGTAAAGAAACTGCTTTCATATCATTTTGACATGCACCTTTTTCGTGCAAAAACATTTTTATGCCGGTCCAACAGCCAAACGCAAACATTCCGCTACCGGTCCATCAAGCAAAACAAAAGGTTCTGTTACCGGCTCAGTAAACAAAACAAAACAACATGAAGAACCATGAGTTCTAACTTTTTGCAATCAACAGACCCTTCCGCTGGTAACGTTACTTTTCAGGCTTGGAACCATGAGTTTCAAGCTTTGGGAACCCGCAGTTCCTTACAATGAAAGCCGCTTAGCTTCGAAAACATAAATTCTAACTTCTGGGAACCGGCAATTCCTTGCAATGGCAACCTCTGGTTCCCAGGTTGGGAACCGTAAGTTTCAAGATCTGTGAACCGGCAGTTCCTTGCCATGGTAACCTTTGGTTCCCACGTTGGGAACCATCAGTTCCAACCTTTAGGAATTGGAAGTTCTTTGCAATGGTAACCTATGGTTCCCAGGTTGGGAAGCATGAGTTCCAACCTCTGGTAACCGGCAGTTGCTTGCAATGATAACCTCTGGTTCCCAGGTTGGGAACCATGACTTCTAACTTGTGGGAACCGGCAGTTCCTTGAAATGGTAACCTGTGGTTCCCACGTTGGCAACAGTGAGTTCCAACCTTTGGGAACCGGCAGTTCCTTGCCATGAACCAAGCGCAAACATTCCGGTACCGGTCCATTAAGCAAAACAAAGCGTTCTGTACCGGTCCATTAAGCAAAACCATAAAGTTGTAAAGAAACTGTTTTCATATCATTTTGACATGCGCCTTTGTCGTGCAAAAACATTATTATGCCGGCCCAACAGCCAAACGCAAACATTCCGCTACCGGTCCATTAAGCAAAACAAAAGGTTCTGTTACCGGCTCAGTAAACAAAACAGAACAACATTAAGAACCATGAGTTCTAACTTTTTGCAATCAACAGATCCTTCCCCTGGTAACGTTACTCTTTCAGGCTTGGAACCATGAGTTTCAAGCTTTGGGAACCCGCAGTTCCTTACAATGATAGCCGCTTAGCTTCGAAAACATAAATTCTAACTTCTGGGAACCGGCAATTCCTTGCAATAGTAACCTCTGGTTCCCAGGTTGGGAACCGTAAGTTTCAAGGTCTGGGAACCGGCAGTTCCTTGACATGGTAACCTTTGGTTCCCAAGTTGGGAACCATCAGTTCCAACCTCTAGGAACTGGAAGTTCTTTGCAATGGTAACCTATGGTTCCCAGGTTGGGAAGCATGAGTTCCAACCTCTGGTAACCGGCAGTTGCTTGCAATGGTAACCTCTGGTTCCCAGGTTGGGAACCAGGAGTTCCAACCTCTGGGAACCGGCAGTTCCTTGCAATGGTAACCTGTGGTTCCCACGTTGGCAACAGTGAGTTCCAACCTTTGGGAACCGGCAGTTCCTTGCCATGAACCAAACGCACACATTCCGGTACCGGTCCATTAAGCAAAACAAAGCCTTCTGTGCCGGTCCATTAAGCAAAACCATAAAGTTGTAAAGAAACTGCTTTCATATCATTTTGACATGCACCTTTTTCGTGCAAACACATTTTTATGCCGGCCCAACAGCCAAACGCAAACATTCCGCTACCGGTCCATTAAGCAAAACAAAAGGTTCTGTTACCGGCTCAGTAAACAAAACAAAACAACATTAAGGACCATGATTTTGATCTTTTTGGAATCAACAGATCCTTCCACTGGTAACGTATGCTTTTTCAGGTTTGGAGCCATGAGTTTCAAACTTTGGGAATCCGCAGTTCCTTACAATGATAATTATTGTTTAGCTTCGAAAACATAAATTCTAACTTCTGGGAACCGGCAATTCCTTGCAATGGTAACCTCTGGTTCCCAGGTTGGGAACCGTAAGTTTCAAGGTCTGGGAACCGGCAGTTCCTTGCCATGGTAACATTCGTTTCCCACGTTGGGAACCATCAGTTCCAACCTTTTCTATCTGGGGTCTATGCCGGTGTAATTTAATATTTTTTTATCCATCCCCATCCACGGTAGGTTTGTTGGCCCATAGCCACCTGGCAGGTCCTTCGCATCTTCATCGACAGGCTTCCTTCGTTGGACTTTTTGAATAATCGCGGAGAGACACCTCTGCACTACGCAGCGTGTGGAGCCAAGTATCCCAAAGTTTCACAGTGATGTTCAACTTCACATTGAGCAATGTTTATAAATCATCACAAGTCATCATAAGATCTCTCTAAATTTCATGGCTTGGTTGCTGGGGGTTGAATTTGGTTATATGGCTATATATATATATACACATGACATTATATGACCATATGATTACTGTATACTATATATATATACAACTACTCTATTTGGTTGATGATGTTGACGTTTAATGGTCGGTGATGAACAGCTCCCGGTCATCGTCCCGGTCATCGAGGCGTGGAGGTCATATGGCCTGTGTGGTCGCTTTGCTCCACGACGCTGGAGGTCGACAAGCGTCTTGTGATGCGGGTGCGTTTGACTCGCATGGTTGGACACTTAAGGGAAAGGCGGCTAAAGAAAAAAACTGAAAAACCTGGAAGATCGAATTGAATTCATGTAGTTTCATGCATGTTTGATGGGTTTTCCATTTCCACTTCGCTGTTGGATGTTAGTTTTGCGGAAGATACGGCTGATATTTTTGTTAGTACGAAGCTGTCAAGTGGGGCCACAGGTGAATCGCAAGTGCTCTGCGGATTCTGAGGTTGGAACCTTCTCATGCACGCTTGCGTTTCGGGACATTTGGATCTGGTCAATCTCTTGCTTCAGAACCGGGAGGCCATGCTATACCCTCATAGCCCCCTGCCAGCTATAACTTAACTGGGCAAACTGAGGCTATCCGATTCCTTCGGCACAGTGACCCACCAGTGAAAGAGGATGGTAAACGCAGTTATGGCTGGTAGGGGCCATCATGGCAGAACAGAGAACCATGCGCATTTATCTGGGTAAATTATAACGACCTCACTGCGACCTCACTGGGAATGATGGTTAGTAAGGGAAATCATCCCAATATGGCCTTAATTCAGGTTAGTGAAATATTATAATTTACCCAGATTTATTGCAGAAACTGGTACTTTGTTCCAATATGAATAGATTGCTGCAGTGCTGACAGGGTCAACATCCAGATCTCGCCTTCACGCCGCTGGATGTGAATCATGCAGATGCAGGAGGGTCCATGCCTCAAAGCAAGGCATTGGTTGTCATTGTAGAGGTGAGCACCTTTCCTTTTCAAATGGGTTTGTCTGAAAATAGGGTATATTCCCAATTATAGCCATTTAATAGGGATAATGATCAGCAAAACCATTGGGTTTAGGGGTACACTATTTTCAGACACACCCAAATGAACGATGAAAATTGATGAATTCTTGTGGTATGGTGTGGGATTCAATGAGCAGAATCTAATCTCTTTAATGGGTGCCCAGGGTGAACGCATTATGCGTGGCTGCAAGAGAAGGGTATACCTGACGCGTTTGAAGTCAGATCGCAGTTTGAGTCAAATTCAAGTCAATTCGGTTAAAAGATTCATTTATATATTATATGAAGAAATCTGCAAAAAATGATGCCAAAACTTTTTTGATGCTGGGTGGGGGGGTGGTTTGGAAAGGTATGTCATGAGGTGGGGGGTTTTGGAGGGTCTCTCATGGTATGGCATTCATGGGCTACATGGTTTGTCATGTCCAGTTATGTTACATGGCATGGCACGCATGGAATACATGTCGGGGGCTTGTCATGTCATGGCATGACATGGCATGCATGAAATACATGTCGGGGGCTTGTCATGTTAGGGCATGGCATGGCATGTATGGAAAACATGTCGGGGGCTTGTCATGTCATGGCATGACATGGAATACATGTCAGGGGCTTGTCATGTTAGGGCATGGCATGGCACGCATGGAATACATGTCGGGGATTGCCATGTCATGGCATGCATGGAATACATGTCGGGGATTGCCATGTCACCATGCATCTATGTTGCCATGCCATGTCCAGTGGTTCAAAAGCTGGGCCGTGCAGCCAAACACTTCAGCTGAACTTTGGCCGGATTAGTGCTCCTGACCTGTTTACCTTGGTCGAAGAAGCCGTGTGGGCACCGCAATCATGTTGTACTGTAATCCTGCTGCGACCCCGACACGCCATTCCGCTCAACAGGCCCAACAGGCTTGCATGGCATCTTGTGTTGATGTGTTGATTCTAATAGTTCTCAGTCAATATATCCCCGCACCAATTTGTCACTGATTTGTCACTGTTCATTTTTTTTGACTGTTGGCCGTGCACGTCGACTAAGAGCAAAGTTCTCTCACATCTTCCATGGCGGCTGGTTCCACTGGGACTACCTATGGGACTATCCAGCTCATAGCATGTGGTCGCAAGTTTGAGTACCGTGGATTTCACGGACAGTAGCTTGACTTGCAATTGCCATGGACTCATGACCTGACATGACCATGCCACATGACCTATACATGACCTGTCACATGAGCTGTCACATGACCTGTAGCATGGCCTGTTGTTCGGCAAGTATTGACGGGATGTGACAGTGCCTATGGTCTCTGAGGGGGGACTCAACTGACGGTGCCTTGGTGCTCAACTTCCAAGCGGGGTGGGGGCGAATGACTTCTTTTTGGGTGGCGTTGTGCCATGGTTGCTTGTTTTTGCATGTGCTAGGATATGCTGTGTGATGATCTGATATCTAGGTTGGGCACCGCAATCATGTGCATGACTTTGGGGCCAATACACACGGTCATGTCATTTTCATTAGAGCTCGTGAGGCTTCCGCAGAGCACTTGTACCTCATCCAAAGGCTTCGGACCACGCAGAGTTTGTCATCCTGGAAGTGTATGCGGACACTCTCTTCCCTCATCGTATCCTGAAATGACATTGCATGAAGTTGTGTTGGCATTCATGTGTTGGCATTGCATGGCCATACATCATGATGACATGACATGGTTTGACATGATGACATGGCACGGTTTGACATGATGACATGGCATGGCATGGCACGGTTTGACACAATGACATGACTTGCCATGAGTTGTTAGGATGACATGACATGACATCAGGTGGCATGAGCATAAGTGGGATGCATGACATGCATGACACAAGATGCCTTAGCACGACCATGGTCAGTACTGATTTGCTGGCCATTGAATCCTGAGACTTCACCGACAAGAGACACGGGGAGAAGAACACTGGCCTCGATGACAGCTGTTAAAACCAGCTTTTGGAAGACCACCCGGATGTGGTGAAGTGGGCGAAGAATTTGGCCAGAACCCTCTTGCCCCTTGACGGCAGGTGGGTACTGGATGAAACATCCGAAAATGAGGAAGCTTCAGGTGGTCCCGAGCCTATCTTGGTGTCGGAGATTGAACCTGAGGGTGAAGGGCCTGTTGAGAATCCTTCCGCTTCTGAGCCTTCTGGGAGCTCTAGCTCAAAGAGAGTGGAACCTGAAAAACAATGAATGTAGTATGCATAAATGTTAGGCACACGAATGCGGAACTTAATTTTCCAATGAAGGGACTAATCACCTTTCGTTGGCCTAGTTGCTTTAGGAACACGGACTCATGGCAAAGAGCGAATGGTTAAACATATCCCTGTTGGAATTCGGACCAAACCTGGGGTTCCATTCTATAGGGACTAAAACGAAAACCCAGGACTAAGGGGGGGTGATTTTCCCTATAGAATAGAAACCCAAGAAAGCCAACAACCCCCTGCCACTCCTATAAAATGAAAACCCAGCCTTATACTGGCCACCGCTTGGAACAAATAATCCACTATAGAATGAAAAATTGGGTCCCAGTGATTAGGAAAAAGACACCTTATAGAATAGAAAACTGGGTTTGCAATGCCTTAAGTTTGGTTTCACTTTTTGGATCTGGGCTGGCACCAGTCCACAAAAGAATATACTTGGTGACTATTTTACAGAGGGGGGATTGGATTACCATTTTATAGGAACTGATCCAAGAGGAGCCGTGCCTCAGCATGGCCAGGCTCAGAAACATTCATATAATGATGTGTATATATTACAATACACACATATATATAAATAAATCTATGTATCTATCTATGTATCTATCTATCTATCTATCTATCTACCTATCTATCTATATATATTTAAAAAAGTTATACGCATGTATACGCACTATTATTTTGCCTACTGACAAGCCCCCTGCCACTCTTATAAAATGAAAACCAAGCCTGACACTGACAAACCGCTATAGAAATACTGAAATACATAAACACATAATATACACACTATAGAATAAAACACTGGGTCCTAGTGGTCAAGAAAAAAAACCTGCTGAATAGAAAACATTATTTCCAAGGCCCAAAATGTGGTTCACGTTTGGATCTGAGCTGGTGCCTTTCAAAAAAGAAACATCCTTGGGGACAATTTTTTGGAAGTCCCGCTGGATTTCCATTTTATAGGAGCAGCCCTGCTAAAAGCTGATTCGTTAACAGTAATGATTACTTTTTCTGTTGCACACTTTAATTTGCACTATCATTGCCCACTGACACTCCCCCCTCCCCCTCCTATAAAATTAAAACCCAGCCGGGCACTGACCACTACTTCCAAAAGATGATCCAGGAGTGCCCTACTGACTAGAAAACGCTATTTCCAAGGCCCAAAATGTGGTTTCACATTTGGATCTGGGCTGGCACCTTTCAAGAAAAGAAATCATGGGGACAATTTTTTGGAAGTGGTGTTGGATTTCCATTTTATAGGAGCAGCCCTGCTAAAATCTGATTCGTTAACAGTGTTGATTACTTATTCGTTTGCAGTATGTTTCAATATTTTACAGTATCATACAGCATTTACAATATTATTGCCCACTGACACCTCCCCTTCCACTCGTATAAAATGAAAGCCCAGCCTCATACCCACTGTTTGGAACAAATTATCGACTATAGAACGGAAAACTGGGTCCCAGTGATTATGATTAGGAAACATGCCCCCTCTAGAATAGAAACCGCTATTTCCAAGGCCCAAAATGTGGTTCATGTTTGGGCTGGCACCTTTCAAGCAAAAAAACGATTGGGAACCATTTTTAGAAGAGTGGTTGGATTTCCATTTTGAAGGAGCAGCCCTGCACAAAACTGATTCGTTAACAGTGTTGGCCACTTATTCGTTTACAGTATCTTTCAATATTTTGACAGTATCACACAGCATTTACAATATTATTGCCCACTGACACCTCCCCTTCCACTCCTATAAAATGAAAACCCAGCCTCATACCCACCGCTTCTAAAAAATAATCCCTATAGAATGAAAAACTGGGTCCCAGTGATTAGGTGCCCCCTATAGAATAGAAACCGCTATTTCCAAGGCCCAAAATGTGGTTCATGTTTGGGCTGGCACCTTTCAAGCAAAAAAATCCTTGGGAACCATTTTTAGAAGAGTGGTTGGATCTCCATTTAAAGGAGCAGCCCTGCACAAAACTGATTCGTTAACAGTGTTGGCCACTTATTCGTTTACAATTTTTTGCAGTCACTATTATTGCCCACTGACACCTCCCCTTCCACTCCTATAAAATGAAAACCCAGCCTCATACTGGCCACCGTTTGGAACAAATTATCCACTATAGACTGGAAAACTGGGTCCCAGTGATTAGGAAACATGCCCCCTACGGAATAGAAACCGCTATTTCCAAGGCCCAAAATGTGGTTCATGTTTGGGCTGGCACCTTTCAAGAAAAGAAATCGTGGGGACCATTTTTTTGAAAAGTGGTTGGATCTCCATTTTGAAGGAGCAGCCCTGCACAAAACTGATTCGTTAACAGTCTTGGCCACTTATTTGTTTGCAGTATACTTTCAATATTTTACAGTATCATACAGCATTTACAATATTATTGCCCACTGACACCTCCCCTTCCATTCCTTTAAAATGAAAACCCAGCCTCATACCCACCGCTTCTAGCAAATAACCCACTATAGAATGAAAAACTGGGTCCCAGTGATTAGGTGCCCCCTATAGAATAGAAACCGCTATTTCCAAGGCCCAAAATGTGGTCCATGTTTGGGCTGGCACCTTTCAAGCAAAAAACAATCCTTGGGAACCATTTTTAGAAGAGTGGCTGGATCTCCATTTTGAAGGAGCAGCCCTGCACAAAACTGATTCGTTAACAGTGTTGGCCACTTATTCATTTACAATATCTTTCAATATTTTGACAGAATCACACAGCATTTACAATATTATTGCCCACTGACACGTCCCCTTCCACTCCTATAAAATGAAAACCCAGCTCATACCCACCGCTTCTAAAAAATAATCCCTAT